AGCGGCTGCGTACGTAACGCGATACGTCTGCGCATGCGCACTAGGTCTGCGCATGCGCACTACACAGAACGTAGCGTCCTTACGTACGCAACGCCGCCACGTACGCAGCGTACGCAGTACTAAAACTGTCTAGTAATCGATGCTCTCTCGATCGTGCGCTTGTCGGCGATTAGCCCTTTCTGATACGGCAGTCCAATCTGGTATCGGAGTCGCGCGTAATTTCACGTTGCCACGTTTCATCGCTGTCTGCAGGATGTAAACTTACGACGTTCAGCTGTTGCCTGTAACAGCTGAAGTGCTCCGCTGCCAAGCACGCTGATGAATGTCTGATTCCTGGCATGGAGGAAAGATGAAGTTGAGAGGGAGAATTGTACGGTGCAAAATGAATGAATAAATAAATAAATAAATAAATAAATAAATAAATAAATAAATAAATAAATAAATAAATAAATAAATAATGTCAGGAAGAAACGCGCCAAGCTTCGCTAGCTCCGATTTTCACAATATGACAAGAGATCCAGTTTTTTTTTCCTTTTTCCCTTTCCTCTGTTTCATTCTTATTTACTTATTTATTTATGAAGAAAAACGTGGTGGATCCCAATGACGTGCAACGGAGCCATCTCAAGTGACTCACGCACGAGGAGAGAGCGTGGAACAACCAACACTCGTTAGCGTTGTTGAATGCTGAATGATTGTTAGCTCATGTCAATTAGCGAACTATTCGCAAATGTCACCTACTGCAGCTGAACGATGATTACAGTGTCGACGACAAACTTGGCACCAATTAAAGAAAACACAGTGCGTGACTTTTTGCTGTAACGAGTAACATCATGTATAAGCCACCTCCGCGGGCTGGTAATTTGGACTTGTAACGAATTACTACGAAGAAAATGACCCACTACTGTCCACCTGGGTGGATCTGTGGCTCGGCTGCTGACCGGAAAGTCGCGGGTTCGATTCCGGCGGCAGCGGAGGCATTTTTATGGAGGCGAAATGATTGAGGCCCGTGTTACTGTTCGATGTCATTGCGCGGTAAGGAACAGCAGATCGTCCAAATTTCCGGAGCCCTCCACTACGGCGTCTCTCGTAATCATATCGTATACTTTTGGGACGCAAAACCCCCATGATTGATTTATTTATATGTGTGGTTTAACGTCCCTAAACCACCACATGATCATGAGAGACGCCGTAGTGGAGTGCTCCGGAAATTTCGACCACCTGGGGTTCTTTAACGTGCACCCAAATCTGAGCACACGGGCCTACAACATTTCCGCCTCCATCGGAAATGCAGCCGCCGCAGCCGGGATGCGAACCCGCGACCTGCGGGTCAGCAGCCGAGTACCTTAGCCACTAGACCACAGGGGCGGGGCAAAAAAAAAAACCATCTGTTATTACTAGTAATGTCCCACTACTTTCTCAATCGCTTCTCACTAAAATACGACATGACCGCTTCCCTTAAGGCACCAAAAAATTGACAATGCTATGAAATAAAAATGACAAAGACAAGTTAATCAGTGTCAAACCTTGACCGTGGAAGGCAGGCCGGCCGACACAAAGGCCTCGCTGCATTTCAACTCGTGGTTTTGAATGACGTTGCTGGGAAGGCCCGGCTATCTATCCTACATCAGTGATTAACATGAGCTAGATAATGAATGATGAACACCTGCCAAAGTGGTATCAAAGCTTTATTTTTCGTTACTTTTAAAGAGTGACAGCAATGTAATTTCATCACCTTTAGCCATACACAATATAAAATGTAACATAATTACAGTTTAATTATCGAAAAGTAATTAGAAATGTTATTACGTTTAGACCTAATTCTGCTGTCAGTGGTGACGCTTTGCTGCGACGTGGAAGCACAGCGCATTTACTGCATTAACATCAATCTTCCACAGGTAAACCTTGCGCCGCTACATAGCGAAGTTTTAGCTTGCTCTGCTCGGCACGACATTGCAATGTAGTTGCGCTGAGCGAAATGAATGATGGACTGACGACTTAGAGGACGGGACAAGTTAAATGTTTGCAAGATGTTTTTTTTCTTTATTGTCTTATAAATATCCTGAGGCGGTCAGCCTCCTGTCGTTCTCACATGAACTCTATATGGAGGCATAAATACTTTTCGCCACTAAAATTTCCCCGACTTGACTATAGTTAAGAAAGCATTTGTTAATTGCTTTTTTTTAAATATTGAGTTGAGTGTGCAGTTGTTCATATTGTAGCAGATATAACAACCTCACAAGAAGGATGTCCTATTTACAAGTTTTAATAAGGGCGAACTTGTGCCCAAAGCCAAAGGAATGACACAGCAGCTGGGAAAAGGAACCGAACGTCCGTAGTCCTCACGAACCATTGCCCCGGGCACCGTCGTTTTCGTCTTCCCGCGCGCTGGCCGCTCGGTCGAAGCTGGTGCGCATGCAGGACCCGCTCGCCCAATCCGGCTGGCTTCGTCTCTTGTAGCGGCGCCGGCAGCACTTCTCTTGTTCGCTCGATGATTGATTGACACGTGGGGTTTAACGTCCCAAAACCACCATACAATTATGAGAGACGCCGTAGTGGAGGGCTCCGGACATTTCGACCACCTGGGGTTCTTTAACGTGCACCCAAATCTGAGCACACGGGCCTACGACATTTCCGCCTCCACCGGAAATGCATGCAGCCACCGCAGCCAGGATTCGATCCCGCGACCTGCGGGTCAGCAGCCGAGTACCTTAGCCACTAGACCACCACGGCGGGGCATTTCTCTTGCTCGCGATGTCTGCTTCACACTGAGCGTTGGCAGTTTCTCGTGGCATTATCCCCCCTCTCAAGCGGCATCGCCCGATCCGATGGTTTCAATGCGGTTGTAGCAAAGCAAGCAATTGGTTCGCTATTCTTCGTGTCGGTCGTAGTAGGACTTCATGCGTACAATGTGTACGCGCTCCGTGGGATTGCGTCGTCTCGAATGCACGTGGCCTGCAGGCTTGACTTCATAAACGAGGTCACTGAGTCGGTGTACTATCTCATATGAGCCGAAATATCGGCGAATGAGTTTTTCAGACAGGCCTCGTCGGCGTACTGGGGTCCATGTGCACACTTTTTCACCAAACATCATACCGCGTTTCACGTCTTCCCCGGTTGTAGCGGTCTACGTCGAGCCGTTGTTAGTGACATATTCGGTGCCTTGCTAACTGGCGGGCCTTTTCCGTTCTTTGTATAAAGTCGTCCAGATCAGGGGTATAGTCGTCTTGGTCTATCGGTAACATGGCGTCCAGTGTTGTGGTAACTGCATGACCGTAAACAAGTTGGAACGGGGTTACCTTGGTGGTCGCTTGTACGGCGGTGTTGTAGGCAAAGGTGACATATGGTAAAATTTCGTCCCAGTTTTTGTGCTCGACATTCACATACATAGATATCATGTCAGCAAGAGTTCTGTTAAGACGCTGCGTCAGGCTATTGCTTTGAGAATGATATGTGGTTGTTTTTCTGTGAATAGTGTCAGTCATATTAAGGAGACACTTCATAAGTTCCGCTGTGAAAGACGATCCGCGATCGGTGATTACAGCTGTTGGAGCGCCATGGCGGAGAACTATGTTGTGTACAAAAAAATTGGCCACTTCAGCCGCCGTTCCCCGTTCCAAGGAGTCTGTTTCAGCGTATCTCGTTAAGTAATCGGTCGCCACCACGATCCATTTCCTGCCGAATGAAGACATCGGGAAGGGTTCAAGGAGGCCCATTCCAACTTGTTGGAAAGGCGCTTTCGGTGGGTCTATCGGTTGTAGAAGGCCCGCCGGTTTAGCACTAGGTGTTAAACCGGTCCATCTTTGGCATTCGCGGCATGTCTTAACATAGCGCTGTACTGAAGCTAAGAGCTTGGGCCAATAGTAGTGCATGAGGTGGCGCACCTTCTTGTCTTCCGTGATGCCGGGATCAGCTCGCTTGAAACGGCGGGACATATCTTCGATGTACATCGCTATCGTTTCATTCGTTCGTTCATCCCGTGTACGAAGAGCTGCTTCCGCCTTTTCCCGGCGATCACTGTTGTCAAACGTACTCAGTAGGTACCGCCGAAGGAAAGCCTTACATGCCTCGTGAAACGCGGCAATTGGCCGTCGGCACAAATACGAGTGACGCAAAAGATATCACGTGATGCCTTTAAGACATGACGTTACAGATTTCGTGGTGTCGCGTGATGACGTCATCACGTTACGTCATCGCTTGATCAAATGATCACGGAGGCAATGCAAAGCCAGACGAAGCGAAAAAAGCCTACAATGTCTGCGATCTTGGATGCTTTGTAAAACAACGTTAGGTGCAGAAAGCTTTCGGTGGGTGGTGGGGCAGGATCAATACATTGACTAAAAGGAAGATGAAGCCGGCCCTCTGAAAATGTCTAACGCATGTAATATAAGCCCCCCCCCCCCCCCCCCGCTGAGTGAATATGCACCATACTTAAGGCATCATCATCATTCGCCCTCGAATGAGTCGTCTTAAAAGAAAACATAAAAGTGTCTGTGAGTTTTTTTTTTTATGCGACAAATAACCCTTTGCAATAACACTTTGCAACTTGCTCACACAATCACGCATTCGTCGTTCCCGTCATCTCATGGCATTAGCGTGTCACAGCTTCACGTTACCGTCCAGCTGGCCTGCATCACCCGAATGAGGTGACCCCTACGTTTGCGTCATCATCGCGGACTTTTCAGCCCGCAGGCGTGGGCTGCCTGCAAAAAAAAAAAAACAAAAAACAAAACGGTCCGGTAGCTTTTGGGCGTTCCTGTATTACAAGGATGGATTTCGAAGGACGGAAAAATTTCTTTCAAGATTTTAATAAATTCCCCATTTAACGAAACAATGCACTTATTTTCGTTTACATTAACTGGTCACTACTTCGCTCATTTCACTACTCATCCATTTGTTAAATTGAGTTTCAACTCTATGACCGTACGTTATGGCCTAGAGAAATTCACTGCATTTTTTTTTTGTCGCACTAAAGTGATCGAATCAACCACAAACGCACAGCGTGTGCTATATGACGACGACCTTTTATTTGTAAACAACAGCTACGAAAACAAACGCTAACAGCTAGCTAGGACCGAGTCTTGGGGTTCTTCTCTTGCGTCCTGTACAGGCCGAGAAGCGTGGCGTCGGCCTCCAGCAGGGTAAGCTCCTTGTCGGCGCCCAGAAAGCGCGATGACATCTCCATGTCGTTCAGCCGTAGACGTACCCTGGTACCACGCACGTAATCGCTGCAAAGTGCCATATCGCTCATGTCATATATCAACACTTGCGCAAACATAGCTTTAGTTAGCTAGCTAGCACACTTAGTGTCTGCGGTTACCCAAATGTGTAGACGCGATGATGATGATGATGCTGTGGCCACACCATTTGTAACGGGCTAGTGCCAATTGATTACACGCCAAATATAGCAGAAAAACAAAAAAATAGAAAAAAAAACGACAAAGAGAAAGAGGGGAAAATACGGATTGATTGGTTGATTGATTGATATGACTGTACCCTTTAGATCCGGCGGCAGCTAACGCCACCTAGCCTAAGACTTAGTGAACCAAAAGCTACATTTACCTTTTTTTGTCCTTTTAAATAGTGAAGTTGATTGATTGATCAATATGTGGGATTTAACGTCTTAAAACGACCATATGATTATGAGAGACGCCATATAGTGAAGGGCTGCGGACGTTTCGACCACCTGGGGTTCTTTAACGTGCACTCATATCTAAGCACACGGGCCTACAGCATTTCCGCCTCCATAGGAAATGCAATAGTGAAGTTGGGGACTGGTACTTTGCAGTGAAGGACTTAATTTTTACTCGTGCCATGATTTTTAGCCACCAATCAGATAACCTCCTTCTAATTAATTCTACCCGCTTAAGTTCTATTTTGTCCTCCCTGTCCCTAAACCTTAGTGCTTTGAAAACTTTGCGCAATCATCCTGAACTATAGGCTGAAGCCCTTTACAGAACATTATCAAGTGTCCGGCAGTTTCCTCCTCCTCTCCCCACACACTGCATACCATGTCTACCCCTTCGTATTTTGCCCGATAAGTCTTGGTTCGCAATACTCCCGTCCTGGCTTCAAACAGAGGAGAACTACCCCGAGTATTATCATAGATCCTTTGCTTATGAATTTCCTGCTTAAAAGTTCGATAGATCTTTAGTGCGGACTTCTTTATCATGCCAATGCTCCACATGTCGATCTCCGTTTCCTTCACGTTCCTTTTAACCAATAGTTCTTTTTGATTTGGCCCCATGCTCTTTTCTAAGTATTTACCCATCAATTTTCTGGTCCGCTTCCTCCATTTTGTATCGACGACATTTCTAATGTACAAGTAGCTGAAAATCTCCCTAGGCCAATGCTTCTCCCCAATTTCTCTCAATCGCTTCTCAAATTTTATCTTGCTGCTAGCTTCACTGCCCTCGAATGATGTCCATCGCATATCACATTGTACTCCTTGATTTGGTGTATTCCCGTGAGCTCCTAAAGCAAACCTACCTATTCCACGTTGCTGAATTTCTAATCTTGCTTGAACTTTTGATCTCATGCACAAGGCCGCATCGCCGAACGTCAGACCAGGAACCATGACCCCTTTCCATATTCCTCTCACAACATCATACATATTGTAATTCCACAGTGCCATATTTTTCATCGATGCTGAATTTATGTTACTTTTAGTCGTTACGTATAATTCACATTCCCTTAGGTATGCGGTCCCGTTGCTTATCCATATGCCCATATATTTGTATTTATCTGTTATCTCTAGCGTGACCTCCTGTATTCTAAGCTCCCTACCTTCATTGTCATTAAAAATCATGACTACTGATTTTTACTTACTGAATCTGAAATCTAACCTATCTCCCTCATCACCGCAGATGTCTATCAATCCCTGCAAATGTTCCTTGTTGTCGGCCATTAGCACTATATCACCTGCGTACATCAATTCTGGCAGTGCCTGTTCAATGAGTTTTCTTTGTTTGACAAAAGAGGGGTTAAAGCCAAGTCCGCTTCCCTCTAATTTGGCCTCTAATCTTTGTAGGTACATCATGAATAACAACGATGACAAAGAACACCCCTGCCTAAGCCCCCGTTTTATCTCTGTGGGCTTGGATACTTGTTTTTTCCATTTTATAACTACCTTGTTGCTTTTATAGATATCCTTTAAAAGATTAGTGACTCCATCTTCTACACCTAGTGTGTCCAGTATTTCCCGCAAGTCCTCTTGAACCATGCTATCGTACGCTCCCTTGACATCCAAAAATGCTAGCACCAGGGGCCTGTGCTCCTTGTCTGCTATTTCGATGTACTGCATCAGTGAGAACAGATTGTCTTCAAACTTCCTGTGTTTCCAAAACCTATTCTGTAGTTCCCCCAGCACTCCCTCGTTCTTTATCCATGCCTGCAGTCTTTGCTTTATAATCTGCATCACCAGCCTGTAGATCACTGATGTCACTGTTACAGGATGGTAGTTGTTTATGTCAGCTTTGTCTTCCTTTATAGATCATGCTCATCCTGCTTACCCTCCTTGTCTATTAAGGTGCACAAGCTACTTCTTTGTTGAAATTTTTCTGTCACCCTTGTTGATATATATTCAATAGCTTCATACCCTTCTAGCCTAAGACCTTGAGCTGTAGTTTTAAACCTCTGATCTAGGCTTGTCACATTTCCTAGGGAGTTTAGATGGTTCCGAAATTTTGCAGCTGCCTTTCTATCCTTTTTATGTACTTCTGCCAGCCACTGAGCGGCCTTTCTTCTAATCTTTTCATTGATCAGCAGAGGTGCTTCTTTTCTACAGCTTAGAAACAGGTAGTTCAGGGTGTCTACCAATTACATTTTTCCGAATTCCCTGACTTTTCCAGGTTTTCCATGACCATTTCAAGCAAATTCCATGACCGGTACGTCTGCTTGGAAGAAACTGCGCGCTGGAAAACAAACTCCTGAGCGGTAAAAAGAAATTATGAGGCGCTCATATAAAATGGAAACCATGCTGCTTTATTGCATTCCCTTGTCTGAAAGCATTTTTTACAATAAATAAAATATTCAAAGACACAATAATTGTCCCTCGACAAACAGAAAAGCTTGTTTACTTGCATCGGCAATGCCTTCACTGTTTCAAGGATTCAATCTCTTGCTGCAGCATGGAGACCTGAAGCTGTGCGTCTTCCATCAGTTTTTGCTTCTTTGATTCAAGCTCTTTCACAAGAGCCGCAGTCCTCTTCTTTTTCCTTTCAGCATCCAATACGTCCAACCGTTCCTTCTTTTTCCTCTCCAGGTCTTCCTTCCACTTGATGTTGGAACTTCGAACCATGTCTATCATCTTGTCTGTTACGTCAACTTCTGCAACACCACCTGCTGCAGACACCTCATCGTACACTAACCTTTGTGCTACAAGTGACTCCTCCTCCTTCATATTTTCCACAAGACATTCCTTGTTCACTGAAAATCCCCGCTCCACGGAAGAATTTCCATGTGAAAGGCACAGCACAATCTTCACAAACAGCAGTAGCTCTTCATGAGAACTTGCACAGAGTTCCACCCACAGCTTCTCCAAGCGCTCTCTTGCACGATCAAATTTTCGCAAACGCACTTGTGCAGTGCTGTTCGAGCACACTTGTACATATGATCTACTTGCTCTCTCTCCTTGTAGGCCTGTAAGGCGCCCATGCTCTATAAGTACTTCAAGTGCAATGTTTAGCTGCTTCTGGCCAGCTTCCACAGAAGCGGCACAAACTGCCGGGTTTAAGCAACTGGCCCCCCTTGTCAGCTTGTATTTCAGAGGTGATCTTTCGATTATCTTTGCTGAACAGGCCTTAATAAATAAGATGCATTCTTTTTTGACACTTACCACCGCAGTGTGAGATGGTTTAGTGATCTTTCGCAACTCACTTTTGGCGGCAAGGCCTATGTCAAAGGCAGCTATATCAATGATGTTGTTTGGGTTCTCCAGATCAATTTTTATCAGTTTTGAAAATGTGCCTGCAGCATCCAGCTTTTCCTTTAGCACGATTCGTCCCAGCAGTGACCGCAACAGGCCGTCCAGTGCTGTTGCAAGAAAAGGTAGCATCGGCTTTTCTGTCTGAAACTCAGCCAAAAATGGCTCCAATTCTTCTGAAACTGAAAGCATAAAGGCCAGCTTTACTGGCAGCATCTCGTCTTTCACAGCCGTCTCGACATGAGCATAGCTGCCACACGCTGGAAGTTTCTTTTCTTTCTTGACATGCTCAACATATTTGACCACATTTGGGAGGACTTGCAGTGCCCTAGCAAGAGCCTTGCCATTTTCCAGCCAGCGCACTGAGCAAAACTTTAGCGGAAACAGTATGCTCCTTGTGAAATTGACATAGTCGGCTCGGCGTGCAGGGACGTTTTTGAACAAATTGTACAAGCTTCTAAGAAACACTACTGTGTTCCACTTTGTCACATTGTGGCCTGTTTTAAATGCACCACTCACAACGTGCAGTCCGCAGCTTCCAATGTCCACAATATTCTGATTTCCATCAGACGCAGAAAACTCTTGCTTCAACGACTTCAACAACTTCAAATTGACGTTTGGACCATCCATCGAAAGTTGAAGTATTTTTGCCGGCTCAATGTTCTCAGTGGCCTTTTTGAAAGCGGCAGCTAAATCTTCTGCGCGAGTGTGTCCTAAAAAACAGGACGTCAGGTAGCGGGTTTTGACAACGTCGTCAGCTGGGTCCCAAAACCTGATCAAAACATCCATTTGCTCTTTCTGAGCAATTTTGTTCAGGGACTCGTCAAAAGCCACGACCACGTGTGGGACACTATGCAGCTTTGATAGCAGCCTGTTTCGGAAGTACGGGGCTATACCGTAACAAATCGTATAGCCAACTTTGTCCTTACCAAGTTGCAACTTGTTCGCGACGTCGCACGTGGGGAACATGATGGGAAAAAGCGCCGCTGACGCTGCTGCTGAACGAAACGATCCATGGGTCGCTATAGTGTTCAGACACCAAACAACTTCTGCTTTCGCGACACATTTTTTGACCAGAAACCAATTTAAGGATGCCTTCCCGTCAGGCGCGACGGCCACCGGTTTAGCAGGCACGCTTTCAGCACTCGTGCTTGGCACAGTCGATACACATTCACTCGTAGTCGTAGCAGTCATGGAACACGGCAAGTTGGGTCCAGCACCGAAAAACGCGCAGATGTTTGTCTGGGAAGCACTTTGCACAATGCTCACAGCAGTTAGGTGTTTCTTGCTCACAGCGTGACTGGAGACAGCAGCGATGCCCATATTGCTAAGCGAGAAAGTCTTCTGGCATGCTGCACAGTGAGCCTTACTTGTATCGTTCGGCACTGCTCTAATCCATGAGGCGTGCTCGGATATTTCCACGTTCACCCAATCAGTGTTAAACGAACACTTCTTCGCAAGAGGCATAGCAACTCACTGCATGCTCACGGCATCACAAGAAGAATGGCAATATGGCTGCAGCCCAGGCATCTTGATATGTGGATTGGATTGGATTGGATCCGATCTGGATTACCATATTTGCTCTACTACTGTTTTCGTATCCCAGTCGAATTTACGCACCTGTAAACTACACATTTCAGTAAAAAAATAATTACGACTCGCATATTCTGTGCACCTTGCCCTCTGCTGATGGCACTTCCAGCCTAACCAGAAAACCCTCAAGCCGAGCTGAGATCGCGGCCAAGACAAACATGCACAATTTTATGCGCGTAACGTTGTACTCGGAAAGTAGAAGCGCCAGCTATGCACTGCTTTTTTTTAACTATGCTTCTGCTTAGCTGTTCTGTGTGGTTTAAGGAGCGATTTTTAAAGCTTTGATTAATGCTAATGAATATTTTCGTGACGATCTGAAAGACTACAGTCAGTTTCCATGACCTGGCCGGATTTTTCAGAATTTCCCTGACTTTTCCCTGACTTTTCCAGGCGTGTTCAAATTCCCTGACTTTTCCAGGTTTTCCAGGTTGGTAGACACCCTGTAGTTGTATCAGTGGCGCTACCTGGCGGTATACAGATAAACTATGCAAACACACTTTTTTTTCTTCTTTTGCAGTAACCGTTTGCATTGTATTTTGCTGGCTAGTGAGCTAATCCTTGTTAGCAGTGTAATTTCAAATGTGTTACATCTTGAGATATCCTTTCCCAGAAAGAACACTAGCGGAACATACAGAAGCGTGCCTGAGTCTCTGTTTAGACGAAGCAGTACACCATCGTCCAGTGACCACGACTTACAGTAACCAAATCGCGGTGGTAGTAACTGTGCGCCGAGTGCACATGTTAAGCTTTTCGTGTTTGTTCCATTTTTCTCTTTTTTTTTTCAGGCTCACGACAGCGCTTGTGTGCCCTGTTTTAAAGTCAACCACCATCACCACATCATCATCATCAACCTTCTAGGATGAGCAATAGGCGTCAATAAAACAAACAAAGCAAACCATTAAACAAATAAACAAAGATACCATTACGAAATTAAGTGTAAAAAAATGCGTTTCTAGGTCACGCACTAAAGACATGCAGGTGATAAGACTGAAGAACGCGATTCGCATCACTATAATGCCATGTTTAGGGAGCTTCGAGTTCGTGGTTGCTAATGCTAATTTTGGGGCTGCAGCCTTATTACTACCAAGAAAAAATGAAGACCAAAATCCCATTTTTATTTTATTTCGTGCCTTGGGTCACTCAAGCCTCGGCGAGTGAGTGTGACCCTAAACAAATTACATTTCGCCATGCAGACACATTAGATGCTTTCGAGGTATACGATAATTGTCTGGCTTCATTACTGGCAACAAGTGCCTATCACGTAACGGCTGTGGGCTTCGTGCAGAAACTACAAACCGGCGTCAACTTATTTTTTCTTTCCACTTTATTTAACCTATTTAGGCACCACCGTTTGTCTCTTGGCGGCATGGTGTGTGAGGGTGTGTTTTCATTGCAGAAGGGTGATTACACAATAAAGTTACATCGTTTTTTGTTTTTACGGTGTCCCTTCAAAACAACACCTGAACGAGTGAGTGTACGAAGATTTTTCCTCATTTCACAAGCACAATCTCACATTGCACGGGTGCACAAGTCCGCGCATTCAAGGCCGGCATAAAATGCCGCGAAATGATGCGTACCAGCTGACTCACTTTTCATTATGCAAACCCGCCGTGGTGATGCTCGACTGCTGACCTGGAGGTTGCGGGGTCGAATTCCGCGGCGGCGTTTCCAATGGAAGCGAAAACGGTTGAGGCCCGTGTACTTTTATAGGGGGCACGTTAAGGAATCCCAGGTGGTTGAAATTTCCCGAGCCCACCAATACGGCGTCCTTCAAAACCATATAGTGTTTTTGGAACTAAAACGCTAACAATTATCATTATATTTGAACAAAATAAAGCTAGCTAATATATTTCCTCGCAAAAGGAAATTTGATGCCTGTGGTGGCGGCAATGTCTCCACCTTTTCAGTCATCTAGTTAACAGGAGCCAAAAAAAAAAAAAAATCACTTGTTTTATAAAAAACGAGCAATGACTCACACAATTCCTCAAACTCCACGAATGATCTGCTTTATGTTCACTTATGACATTCAAGAGACATTTTTTGAACACAGCAAGTAATGTTTCTACGTTTGTAACTTCTTAAGCACCCACTTTGCTACTTATTTAACTTGGTGTACTTTATAACACCACTACAGTCACTTGTGTCTCTGCTTTGAGAGCATATAAACGAAACGAAATAACGTGCTCTCTTTGGCGCGGTCATTTTCGGGAACGAAGCAAACGACTTCACAACTTACCCCGGGTTCTTCACAGGCCTTTTGCATACACAGTGGAACTTGCCACCAAAGTCAATGTACAGGTCATCCTCAACTATGTGAAACACCTTGCCGATCACGATCCTGCCCTCGGGGTCACCAATATCGATCCACTTGGAATTTCTGAGAAGGGTGGAGAAACGTTGAGGTGCCTCGGGTGCTTCGCCCTTGTTGGACAACTCTTGAAACTTGAGGAACGCCTCGGCGAATCCACCTTTTTTCTTCGTTTCTGAGACATCGTTTTTGACGTCGCTGGTGGTATTTTCGCCGCCGACTGAAGAGCTTTCCCATCGGCAGCCGCGTGAAATAGCACAGAAACTTCTCGCGCGGAGCACTGATCTAAGAGCAACCACGTGAGCCATGTATACCGCGGTTTGACTATATTATACGAGTTTTATAACGTATTGCAAGCAATGGGCGTACCGGCTTTGTGTCTCTGTATGTCACGAAACACAATAATTAATGCTTGAACGAGTAGACGTCTGGAAAAAGTGACCTTCACAATCGCATGTTTGGCGTGTTTACAATACTCAGAGCCGCCATGTCTTGACTGGCGATTGACCCGAAAGCGGCTTCCGACGACTTGTTTGCCGTCTTGCAACTAAAACAACTCAGCACTAAAGCATTGTAAACACAAAGTTTCTCACAATATTAGGAAACTTTATAAATACGGACGCAAGTATCAACGTGATTTAAAACAAAATAAAAGTAAAGTGGCATTTTTATTTGGGGACGCGAGACACCACAGACGCATGACGTGAAAATTGGCACTGCCATCGCTGCCGCTGCCAGCGCGTGTTTTTGTAGTTTCCAGCGTGGTTTCCAGTTTAGCCTGGCGCATATTTGTGCCCGTACTTGCAAAATTTAATCACTTATCGCACTGACGCGCTGATTATCTCCCTCCCAAGCCGAATAATTTTTTGTGGTTTCGATCGCTTTGTACAGTGCGCCAGTGATCGTGCATTATGGCGAATTCGACGACGAACGCTTTGTCGTACTTTATGCTCATCGGCAAGTTAAAGGTGCCGCCTTATTCCTCGTGAAAATATAGAGATATCACCAGAATTCTTTACATTTTTGTGGTAGACGAGCGGTGGTGTTTTAGATGCTGCAGCTATCGCTGCCGGTGATTGTGCAGATGAACGCGTGACCAAAATAGCGATGTGCTTTTGTGTTGTATCCAAGCGCAGAATTATTCCAGCAGTTTTGGTAATAAATTTGAAAGATATGTGTGAGTAAACAGGCAAGATTGATTTTGTATTTACGTGGCTTCGCTTAACGACTACACGAAGGGGAGACCCACCTAATGTAAATAACGCAGCTCTGTTTCCAACTTGTTCGAGCCAAGACTTTCGCCTCTTCGAAAGGATCTGTCGTCGCGAAGAGCGCATGTTTTCCGGTGTTACCTATAAGTCGAACGAGGCAACAACGAGTGTATACTCAAGCTAAAGACTTACGTGTGGAGTTCCAAGTGCCGTTGTCTTACTGCCGTTACTGGAAATACATTCAGGGCATCAGGCGGACAGGCTGGGTGTTGAGAGGAGTGCCAGACCCGGAGCGCATCTCGGGACACATGTACAGAATGTCGGTAATGGCCATGATGATCGGAAATGATGCCGACTCCGGAGTTGACAAGGATAAGTATGCATTCGCATTTTCATTAGATAAGCGCTCTTTAAAGGCGTGCCTTTGATCAAGCAGCCCAATTTTTACTCCGGTAGCTATAAGTGCTCCTCAACTAAAAAAGCCGTGATGTGATTTGGATTTTCGTCAAGTCGGGTTCAAGTAACAGTTAACGTGAGCATGCCGAAAATGCACGCTTTTACAGGTAAAGCTGTTATGAGATCAGAACACCGGTAACGCGCGGCGCCGCAGTTGTCCGCCGCCGCCGCCGGTGTCCGTAACCAGCATCGAACAAAAAATAACTCAGTAAATAAAAAAAACACCAATGACACAATGGGATTCGAACTCGGGATGCATATCTAGTGGTACAGCTAGAAATTCTCATTGAGCAGTATTTGTCATTGGAGAATAGTTGCTCGAGGCTAAAGTGCCTAAAGGTGGACTTCACATAAAGCTCTTTCTGCAAGCACAGCACAGGACACATTCATTGTAGCAACTTTAGGTATAGCTGTTATGGCTACATTGTTGCCCCTTAAATTTTGACATTTAGGCTTGTGAAAGACATGAGAAAGCACACCAACACATCACCATTGTAAGTAACAGTCTCCTGCACCAATGATGGGTGAATTTTCTGCCAGTGGGAAGAATTATATTGAGAGACTTATGGTACGGAGTTTGCATGGTGAGCTCTGAAGAGTGCCGTTATAGAGGGCTGTTCGTCCTGATCACCAGAGAACATGCATTCACAACATTCTACACTAGTATCTCTCAATTATGACCTAATCCAAAGTAGCCTAGACGTTTTGGAAAACAAGGCAAATGTCCATGCCAGGTGTTATAACAAATGAAGCGTAAAAAAAAAATGTATTCAAGTTGCACGAAGCATTACCTCTTTTAAAGGTTGTTATAAAGAAATTGCAATTGAAAATGGCACGCAAAAAACTTGAGGATCCGTCCACACCTAGTAACATAGAGAGTTGCAGCAGAAAAATGCAAAAGTGGGACTTGTTTTACATACCGTAAGTATTGTGTCCTAGCTAGTCCTCCCCATTTTTAATTGGCACTTCAGGAGCAAAAATTACAAAGCTGTTCCACTGAACTTACTACATGGCAAGGCCTTCATAGGAAGTTTTAAATGTAATTTTACGTTTGCCTTTTCTTAGTTTCATTCATAGCAGGCGATGGGATATAAGCCATCCAAGATGTTAGATCATAAAAGTATTAGTTTGCACATGTTGGGGTCATTTTCTCTTAGTCACACATGCTTGCCTGAGCTTTGCGAGGCTGCTGCAACAGGCTGTTAATGAAAAACCCCAATATGAAAATAGCATCCAAGAAAACTATCTAAAACAATGCATAAACAGCTGTACAAAAACAATTGGCTCATACTTGAAATGGAAGCTTTTTTTTTTTTCATTTATTCATGAGCCTAATAAAAAACTTTCACATCATTGTTATGGAGAGAATGTGAACCTTTTTCTTGTTATAAAAGCGATTGCTTAAAAAACCTTTTGGCCTTCATAGCCACCTTCAGAGCATTGCACAGTGTGTGCAAAAAATAGTTCAGTATACTGCATATCAAAGAAGGATTTAAGGATGCATAATGTTACTTGAAGTTGTGTTAAATGACTTACTTGTATGTGACCTTGTTATTAGATAGAGAGCTTCACTGTTATGGACCTTTTTTCTTCTTTCCGGACCCTCTCCCCCACCATCATGTTTATTTATCGATGGACCGGAAAAAAAAAAGTCTGCGCGGTGCCAAATGCTGCGTCCGATCTCGTATCGCAATGCACGTGGCAGCCGCATTTTTGTCGAAGTTTATTGTCTTCATTTCTTTTCTTTTGCCGCCCCCACCCCTTTTTTTTAATGGTGGCATCCAATCATCGCTTATGTTCATTGTAGTCACCGATAGCCTGTTCAAGCGACCTTCGTGCGTGAGAAGCCTTCGCTAATTCGTTCAACTTATATATGAGGGCACTCAAAGCGCCGTACGTTAGGCGGCAATCAGGTGGTATTTTTTTAAATTTCGTGCACTTTAAACCAAACCTGGAAAAAAATTAGCCAGCATTGTTATCCTATTGTAACTTGAAAATTTTGTTATTTCTGGATAAGAGCTACGAGTCTTATATTGAAGTTTTGTCTCTAGAGTCAGTATTTGGAACGTTCATGAAGCAAAGTTTGTTAATTACCGTGCTTGGCAGATAAAGAAATATTCTGACGTGCTACATACTGCTAAGAACAATACTACGCTAGCTGGAGACGCGTAGCACCCATTTTTATTTTTTTATTGCTTGGTGCTTTTTAGTTGAAACGCCCTGTAGGAGCTGTAGTATTGATACTATACAAGTTTATTGCCTTGTGGGAAGGACTGCAATTGAGAAAGTCTCTCGCTATAAAATCAACAGGTTGAGACCTCAGACAAGGCCGCACTAGTGCAGCTTCCACAGAGCCTGCTAACTGTGTAAACTGCATAACACAGTGTAAGGCACACATTGTTGCCAACAAGTTAACCAGTATAGGTTCAAATATACCGCCATTCCAACTTGGAGAACTTTCATAGATGTCCCAGACAATTGCATTTGATCTTTCCCATGACTGCGGGGTACGGGCAAATTTCTCTCTATGATTCCATGCCTCAAGAAATGTGTTCGGAGCATGGAGGCAGAATGCACTGGTGCACTGAAGTTTTGCGAGCAGAGCTCGAACTAAAGTCTGAGGCTCTAATTAAGAGCAGTGTAATTTGCCTGGCCCATACGTTGTGATTCAAAATGATTTTTGAATACCAATTAAAAAATTTTGCATGCCTTTTGTAGTGCAAAAGCATGAGGTACAAATTTCTCGCTCCAGTGGTACTAGATCAGTTAGTGTTGTCCAGTTGTTTACATAAACACAGTATGATGCCAGCGTTTCTTTTTTTTTTTTTTTTTGCAGGTGCATTCGTATGGCGCTTGTCCACGATATGGGAGAGTGCATCGTGGGAGACATCACACCGATTTGTGGCGTCAGCAAGGAAGAGAAGTACAAACGAGAATCGGTACGGCCTGCGTACTCCATATAATGCAGTGCTGACTGAACTTCACAATCGTTTCAGGATGCCATGGACTGTTTGGGAAAGCTAGTCGACAATGTGTCTGCAATCGAGTTCAGAAGTCTTTGGGAGGTGAGATATAACATCAGCTCGGCAGTTACGGCAACAATAGAGCACTAAGCTGAGCTTTGGCTACATAGACTAGTGTTATAGTAAAGAGCTGTTAGCTAATTTTATCGCAGTAACTGCAGTCAGTCACAAAATAATATAGAGCACATGAGCGCGTGGCGAAATGATCGGTAGCTGTGTCTAGTGGCCGGTCGCTCGCTGTCGATTGCATAGCTCTGGCCGCGAAAAGGCCAAAGCAGTGTTCTCTGCAGTAAACATCTCATCACTAGACACACTAACGGCAATTTTGCCATACGCTAGCATGGTCTATAATATTTCATTGCAAACTGTACATTGTAAAACAAGGCGTGCTTACGTATGCATAGGCATTCGAGTGAACCCGCAGTGATTTTGTTCAAAAATTCCAGTCATGTTTTCAGCCACAAACTGCAACGTGTATTCAGAACTATGCTACTATGGCATTGTTTGTATAGATGCCAATATCTATACAGTACAATTGATATAACACAATTGTCCTTGGGTGCTTATATTCTATTCGAGGGAAAGCACGCAGAGATTAGGGTGATTGATTGATTGATATGTGGGGTTTAACATCCCAAAAAAGACCGTATGATTATGAAATACGCCATGGTGGAGGACTCTGGAAATTTCGACCACCTGGGGTTGCGTGCGCCCAAATCTGAGCGCACGGGTCTACAGCATTTTCGCCTCCAGAGATTAGGGTGACTTTTTTTTTATTATTCTTCTACAATGAGGCAGTTTCACACAGTACAATCTTGTGTCAAAATGTAAACAAAAGATCACTGTTGCCTATAGCTTTGAGGCTAACATTCATATTAAAACACTCATTAAAAAAAAAAAGTCATTGACGTACAGCGTGCACTTTATGTTGAGTACTAGACTCCAGTGACACTGTATCGCAGCACGTTTCTAGTTTTTTCCTGATTTGTCTTCATAAGGAATATGAAGCCCAAAGTTCTCCGGAGTCGAAGGTTGTCAAGGATCTGGACATGTTTGACATGATCCTACAGGCCCACGAGTATGAAGTCGAGATGCAGGATCCTGGGCGACTACAAGAATTCTTTGACAGCACAAATGGTAATTTGAGTCTTAAGCCTGTGGTGGTGTGATGTGTGAACCACTAATGCTGTTTCATTTCATTTGTTTTACTTTTTACCATGTGAACAACTTGCTTTTGTTACGCGAGAATTGATCTTATGCATCAGTCATCCTTACCACATGATTATTACGCATATCTGCAAAAGGCAAGTGTGTCTTGCATATCGCAAGCAACTCATATTGCGAGTTCCACCTGGTGTTTTTCTGCATGTTCCCTAGGTTTATGAGAAAGTACCGTCTAAATAGGACATATCTACACTAGCGATGAACAGAGGTTGTGTGGCCAAGCGTGGAAGGTGACCAAGGTTGTGCCGAGTCATTTTCACGCTGGCACTTGCCACCCTGAAATGTCTCGCCACTGCTGCTGTCTGCACATCCTTGCGTCGTCATCACCACGTAAAATCAGCTTCAGAATACACAGACGTTTTGTTCTTATGCTGCTGACGACTCTAGCAACTTTATGACGACATTAATGGGGCTTCAAAGTGGAGCCAGCAGTTGTGGAATTACTGCAACCATTCTGGTTGGCTGTGTGAGCTCTGCAAGTGGCCAGTGGGCACAAGCCTACTGATAGTCGTACCTTGATAATTTAGATATTTCATTGCTTCGTTCTCTTGGCTTTTACAGGACGGTTCCAGCACCCCTTGGTCAAAAAGTGGGCGGAGGAGCTCTACAAGCTTAGGGCCACTCACCTTTCTCAAAAGGCAGTATGACCGCCCAACAGCAGTAGATCTTTTTATTAGTGCAATGGGTGTATATTTATTTACTTACTGTACACTCTAAGAGCGAGATATAAGCACGACTGTGATTAAAAGATCCTCTGTACATCATGACGCTGGCTTTTGTCACCTCGAAAAAATCTTTTCTTGCAAGTACTCCCGCTGTGCTTCGAAGTCCATGCCTATGCTTGAAAATTCGCTACATGGAACCTGAAAGGAGTGCAGGGAAAATGCAGGAAGTTGAGTACGTTGCTTTGGGGAGAACGAGATGAAACTGCCAAATGTGAAAATGGACGAAAAGAGCCACCACTCTCTAACTAGCGTCATATTTTGCTCTTTCTACTACATGCCTCATTACTGCCAAGTACGATCACGATAAAAGTCATCATGACTCAGTGCATCAAAAAATCTATAGGGACACATACAGGCGGGATGCTCCTGGCGGGTCTTGGGAATGCTAGACTCACCGGTAGTTTTCACTCATCTTCTGCCTAGGAAACTGCGGAAGAGATGGCTTTTCTTACAATTATGAAGCAAGTCGACAAAAGACACTTGCAGGAGATGTGTGCTTCTCGTGAATGCTTTTATCACTTCAGCCAGCGTGATCGAGTGGGAGGCGCCAAAAAACTTGTTTCGGGACACAAGCCAGCTTCCCTGCATTACATCACTAGTTGAAACGCTGCTTGTTGCGGCGTTTATGTATGAAACACGGGAATAAATTCTGATTTGATTTGGTAACTGAGTCTAATTATTTTCTTCTCGAGTGGGAGTGGTGTGGGGCATGCACACAAGGGTGGCAAGAGCGATATGCGTCATAAACACACTTTTGTAACCACAATTCATCAGCTCGGGTAATCTGTGATTTTTGATTCCCCTTACACTTTTCTCCAGTAGATTGTAGTCAATAGACAGTTATAATATACCGTGCTTAGCGGGATAGCGGGCTCACCGTGATAGCGGGATCGAAGTGCGCATGTGCAAATACGTACCTTACCCATACCGCTTACTGTACGCACGCTATTTTTCAGATTTAATGTTAGCATGGTGTATATGAAGTGTACGTAAACATGGCGAAGCTTTCGAACGCCTGCTTCAACGTGATTTTGGTGTAGTTGTTGAAAGATTCACTTCGTTCGCAGCAAACGACTGTTTAAAATGGCTTTGCTTGCCTTCAGTTAGCCTCTATGACCGAGTATTATAGATAAGCTAGTGTAATTTTTTAGACAGCTTCCCATTTCGAACAATATAGATGTAAACAAATCGGCAACATGAATTTTGCGTTTGGTGCATGGTTCATATTTATTTACTTTTATTATTATTACCAAAATAAGCTTGTAACAATGCTTCATGCGGTGACACAGGCAAACATTTTTCGTTTTCTTTTCCTTTTTAATGTTTTTTAACTTATCAACCCTTCGATAGATGAAGCCACCATTCCAGCTGGGGCACGTAGACCAACACTATCCCACTAAACTATAAGATATTGTCCACAACGAACATTTGCTGCACGGTAACGCCATTTTCTTAACCTCCACTATCATGCTAACGGTAAACTATAGCTGTAATAGTTCAAAAACTGGTTAACCTCCCTGTTTTTCTATCTACTTCTTTTTTTTCTTCGAGATTTCTGAACTCCAAGGAATGGCTCAAGAAGCACTGGCAAACGCGTGCTTCAAGCATTTAATTTCAAACACTGAATGTTGTAGTTAGTGGCTGTAATGGGGCTAAGCAGCTCACCTTAATGACTGTGTAGCCCAGGATTTCCAGCTGTCGTAACTTTGTCGCAACAGAACCCAACAGGTGCATCTCATTGGTGCAGTAGTCGTCTTCTCCCAGAAGCATGATGGCCAACCTAGCAGCAGAGGTTGTTAATGTAATCAAAGGCATCTATGGCTTCATGCATATCTTTTCTCGGCGAATAACATTATAAAGTGACAAACAAATGAATACTGTAGATTGTCATACAAAGAAATGAGCCTTTGGGAAAAAAGACAGAAAATTCCCATTATGTTTATGAAGAGGAGCTTATGCAAGATGACCAGTGCGTAGCACACAAAATTAGTAAACAGATGATAGCACGTACACGTTGTTACTGATAGAATTTTTTTTTTTTAATTCAAAGAGGATTTCGTTCGTGTTAAGAATGGCTACAGCATTGATCCAGTGGCATTAACAACTCAACTAAAAACACTACAACTTGCCAAAATGTACTAATGTAGCTCATACGCACACGATTGTTTGAAATAAGAGCACACTATGTAGATGCTGAGAGGTATCCGTGTCTAGATAGTGCGCTCTTACTTCAAACAATCATGTATCACCAACTCACAACCATATTGACAAGTCATACATACAATCGGCAGTTTCTGACTAACTTTTCAATGCGCAAAAGAACACAATAAATAGCAGTCATTACCTTCTTACTGGTAGACAAGGATTGGCCTTGAAGTCCTGCTGGGATATGAAGCCGAACTCCTTTCCAGCATAGCACTCAAAATCTAAAAAAAAAAAAATGAGAAAGACTTCTTGATACTGGCACCTAATATTCAGTAATGACCAGCAATATGTTGTGTCGTACCGATGTGGTGAAAATAAGGGGACTGCGTTCTTGAACGCACAAGCCCATCTTCGCCTGCTAGATCTTTCAATACGTCTTCAACCATACTGGAGAGCTCATCACACTGTGGGTAGCCTGCAAATGAAAAAGGATGTGCACAGATGGTCAACCTTTGATAAGGTTTATTAGCGCTAGCTGAGCTTGCTTTCTTTTTTTTTTTTTTCAAGAGACGCTTTTTAAGTTTGGCAACTCGTCTTTTGTAGTCGTTCCGGCGCTGCGCTCTTTTCATTTCATTATGAACCCAAACCAACTAGCCCACCTTCCTGTTATTCTGCAAGCCTTTTAAGCTTTAGCACTAGAAACAGCAAAGTGTCGGAGTGCGCTGTGCAGCTCATACCAATAGTATTCACTGGCATAACACCAACGCCTCCAGCTGTTGTATTTCTTCCACACTGTCCCCTCTGTTTCTAATGCTGACCAATGTTGCCCAACTGCTAACTAATGTTGGTTAATACTTCCCAACCGTTGGTTATAAAGGTAAATCAAAGCAAGGAGCGGTGATAGTTATGCATTTCGCTTGCATTCAATGTCGAATCGCTATAATTTTTTTCACAGCAGAGCTGTCATGGTCAAAGTTCACTGAGTACGGTAGATAAAAATTATCATCATCATGAATCGACTCGCACTAGCCCAAGCATTCTGTACAGACGGTCAACAAGCAAAGCTTAGAAATGTCCTGCAGTTCTACTGCCACCGAGCCTTGCACAACTTTGTGCACGCCGTGCCAATTAAATTTTTTTTTTTTGCTTATTTGGCCTCGACACACCAATACACACACTAATAATACTAGGCTTGTGGGAATAGTGAATTTAGATGAATAATTTCGAATAAAATTTAAATAGTATACATTACATATTATAGAGAAGTATGGGCATATTTGTCATAACCTAACTAACCTGCACAACATTTTGAAAAACTGCGCAAATGCTTTTTTATTTTTTTGCTTCAAAGTAAGTGGAAACAGCTTTGAATAGTAGCAGCATTTGCCGTTTCGTAGGATGCAAATTATAACCTATGAAGTATTCTACATTTTAAATTTACTATATTTTGTAGGAGTTCGAGGCAGCGGCTAGCCAGAGAACCCCTCAGGGAAGAGGGGGAGCCCGACAGAAACCATGTTTACTGATCGGAACCCGGGCCGCAACTCCTCGCTGCCAGAGGGTGCCGCGATCGTTATTGCCTTCTTCTTCCTACAATCGGCACGCTCGCGGCCGCCACTCCCAAAACTTAGAGCATATAGGCCGGTATAACAAGCTTTTAGACTTCAAAATGAACACTAGATGTGAGGGTATCTTCCTGTAACTTTGAAGAAGGTCTTCGCGGGGCGGTGCAGATTTTCCTTTGATATATGTCTTTGTGGTTTAGCACCACTTTACTGCAGTGAAACCACCTCTACAGAAAGTTAACGCGAACTATATATACATTGAGATAGGTGCTTTCACGGCTGCGCACCTCTCCACTGAAGTGAACCCACCTTTAAATGTGTCACATGTGGACTAATAAATGTCTATTCATTCATTTCGAATATTGCGAAATTCTCAATAGCTTAAGTTCGAATCGAAGCAAATTTAATTACTATACTATTCATTTAAATATCTGGAGCATTTGAATATTTGCAAGAGCCTACATAATACTAACTAGTAATATTCTTTTTTATGCTTTTTTTTCTCAACTTTATTCTACAGCCACAATCCCTCTCTCACATCTCCCATGATAGTTCTTTGAATTTGGTCTAGCACATTGAAGAACATTAAATCAATTGTGCTGACTTTACTTGTGGTACAGAAGGCTGGGGCAGTGGGCAATGACGGCTTTCACCATATTTTTAGAACGTTAGCTTTATGGCACACGTAAAGTCACAAGTACAGGCACACACGAAAAAGCATGAAACGAGACACTCGACGTTTGGTGGGTCTGCGCTGCTTGCAATGAGATGAACACCTCTCGACTGTTGGTGATTGTCCTTTAATATTGCAAATTGAATCGCATGAACATTACTGCAGACATTATATAGCTGCAGCACGGTGCGTGCTCAAAATGGATCTGTGCCAATGCTACAGAAACTGTTTCTCATGCTTTCCTTTCGAGAATATAACTGCTTGAGAGACCCCGTGCTTCGTCCATGTGACAAAAAGCCAAGACAAGAGAAAAAGGCAAGGAAGCTACGTCTACATACTTTACTTCACATAAGCAGCTGTAATATATTAGCCTTCAATGTCAGCCCAATTGAAGAATTTTATTTCCTTGCCTCCAAGCTTGGCTATTTTAACTGACGCACCAGCTTGGCTTCTTTAACTTGGCTTCGCACCAAGCTTGGCTTCTTTAACAGACACCATGAACTGATGCAGTTGAACACCTTTATTAGAGGCACTGATGTAACATACAACAGGGTATAAGAGACACCAGCGTGCCTACACTGAAATAGGTGTTGATAAGAAAATGCATACGTGGTACCCTGCTTATAAGACACATCCCATATAAAAGCCGCCCGCATCTTCCCAGGAGGCAAGAGGGGGAAGGCGAGTAAATGCGTCGCAGAGTGGTGGGGGTATGACGTGAATGTTGCGTATTGGGTATGGTTTGGAATGCTTAATTGTTGTTTCGTCTTTGTTATTCTTATTTATTGAATGAAGGAGAAGCATTGCCTTCAATGAGTGGTGGGACACTGATGTCGGGTTGTGCCCCACTACTGGTTGACGGTACTGTTGCTTCCATCGCATCTACTCAAGTCAAGCAAAGCGTCAAGTCAAGCGACAGCCATGTAAATACGCCCTTGACTGAATTCCAAACACGTGATCCAGTGCCTAAATATACGGGGTGGGCAGTGAATGGTTGTGCAGCGCGAGCAGTAGATTTTTACTAGCAGACGCTGCCTGCGTCGGCCTTGCGAGGCGACAGGGGAGGAGGGGGGACGACAGTTGGCACAACACGTGAGCACGAGGAACGAGATGCAAGCATGCGCAATGGGGTATACACGACACTGCTGACGCCGGATTTACGAGTAGGTGTGACTATAAAATGCTCCGCATTTGAAAAACAGGAATCGGCACCTTTGATGAAGGGGTCCAGCTATATCAGTTGTGATCCAACATTTAACACTGAGACTGCGAAAGCAGTGGCTATACACTACATTGTCAGTCGTAGGATAGCTGCATGTTTCACTAAAACTAAAGAAAACTGGCTTGCGTCACACTCACGAGAACTTCCGCTGATCACAGAAGAGGGAGGTGTGGCCCACATCCATGGAATGTCGAGCTCGGGGCACTGGAGCTCAACACACCGGTTGCATTCGAACAATAGTCGGTCAATGTCGTCCTTCATTTCTGGATTCTCTGCAATGCAAAGTTCAATACTGTAGACAAGTTGGGAAGAACTACACTACCGATTAACCAGCGCAATATGTTCTCAGCAGACAGAGCATTGGCTGAGACCAAATATTAAGTCCCGCACAGTGAAGAAATAGATTTGAAGACAGGTGGGTGAATGTGTCTTTGTGAACTGTGTTCATGTACAAGTTCATCTATTACTTATTTAGATTTGCAATTGTAGAGTTTCTCACAAACTTACCTAGAGGGAAATCTGGCCCTAGTGAGATGCTGGATGCAAGGTAATGACGGGATAGTGAGCTTCGAACTTGACTTGGATTTGCATACCTCGAAGACGTGCCTTGCTTCACGTTAAAATGATTGATTTCTTACTAAAAGAGCACGTAATAAGCTATTTATTTTGATCATTGCACATAAACAAGCTTTATTTAGCACTGGAACCTTCTGCGTGGATGTACAATTTTTGGAAGTGTAAGAAGTAACCAAAAGCTACTAAACTTGGCAGGCAGACGACAAAGCGAGCGTTCCCTCCACCACTTTTACGCCGTTTGTTTCTTTCGCCGCTGAGTTTTGTGGTCAAGGTAAGTGGACTTTTATTTTAGAACATATTACACGTGAATAAGGTCTGCTTATAAACGTTCTGTTTTAGAGAAGCCTTATTTACGCAGTCATATTCACTTTTGAGCTGAAACCTCGCTCAACACCAGCCAACACAAGCCTCGTAGTCACATATACCGTCATTCCCAGCCCTCCCAACAAGGCTTCTTAAGAAATTCGCATAGACAGTGGTGCCAACCTTCCCTCCAGGTATGATTATTAGAAACTCTATGCTTGAAATCTCTGAAATATCTTATGGAGCTGTGATGAAAGCAATCATCACACTCGCTGGAAAACTCTAAAATCTTGACAACTGTTGCATCTTGAAGGTTCGCAGGATTCCACCATTGCCACTAGTTGTTGACTTGTGGGGCCTTACCGGCACCAATGACTCACAAGGAAGACGCCGACGTAGCATGAAGAGACTGATGCGGGAAACATTACAGAGGTTTGTTTTACACGATTTACAAGCAAGCGTTTCATCACATGACGAACATATAGACCATGCATCATACATTATAACGATCTCGTGTCGAAGGAGGCCACGGGGACTGCTTATAAAGAGTCCCTTTTCCCCAGATCTGTGGATGAGGGAATGGCCCAAATTAATGCTGTCCAGTCACAGGACACATGCCACTTTCGACGATACCACCCACACCTGCCCAGGTCAACAACTTAGATTGGAATGTGGCCACCACACTGCACCCTGTGGCACCAGGATGCCCCATCCTTGACGTGAAAAGGCCACTGCGTGATGGGTCCCACGCTTGTACTACAGGGAACATCTAAAGGGGCACCGTTCACCACGCTCAATTAGCGGGATGGGTTTTCATCCACGCTGATGCCACTTTCTCTTCAAGGAGGGTGTCGCGACCGAAAACCGTAGCGGTCGTCTCATTGTACACCTTGTGGCATCAAATTGCATGGTGCCTAACTTCCTGACTGACAAGCTTGAACGGCTTTCAGCAGTCCAGAAGCCCTTCGGCGACTTGTTCGGTGACACACGTTTCTCCTTGGCTTAGACGCCGATCCTAACACAACTTATCTTGCTCACAACAATAATTGTCATCCATTTTGGGCACATTTCCTTTGTCTAACACTGCATGTCTGCTCTTCCAGGTCCTGAATAGCATGGTGTTATTAGGGCATTGCTTTTCCAAGCAAGACGATAAGACAAAGTTTTCAAGAAGGGAAATATGAGCAAGACATGACGTTTACTCATATGGAAAGAAATACACCCACAAAAGTGTAAGCATTTTTTCACACCGAACAGTAATGCAAGACATAATCAGAATGATCAGGAACACTGGTGGCAGACAGAAATACAAAGCCAAAAATTATGCAGTGTTCTAAATTTAGTGCCCTCCTACTGTGCAAAAACTGACGGCAATGACAAAAATGATGGCAATGACAAAAAACCATCAAGAGTGTCTATATACGATTGCTGCCACAAGAAAAGTAGATTCTGGAGTTTTGACACACCACAACTGTGACATGATTACGAGGCACACCATAATGAGGAACTTGAAATTAACTTCGACGTCTCTTAAATGCCCACACATGAGTACAGAAGTATTGTTGCACTTTACAGCCAATGAAATCAAGCCACAATGGCTGGGGCTTTGTGTTTAGGAAAGCAATACCGTCGATGTAGTGGTCGGTAGCCCCTCAGCAGCAGCACATCACAACAGCTGCAGGAGATTGCCCTTCCCTCCTAAGTACCTTAGTCGATCTTACTTAGATACCGTATTTGGTCTTAGGTACCTTACAAACTGTGAGCTGAACCTTAGGGAGTTGTAAGTCTTTCGAAAAAGTGCAAGCAAATACTTGTGGACTCACCATTTACGAGGCTGTCCAGCTTCTGTAGATAGCCGACGCTGAAGATCTTGCGAACCAATCGCTCCGCAAAGCAGTCTAAATACAGGAGGCTGTGTGAAAAACAAAGTATATCCGTGACAGGCAACTCATCCATTTCAGCGATTTTGACTAGGTGGTTGGCGTACAGGTTTCCGAGTTCATCAAAGCACTGTGGCCTGTAGTTTACCTATAGTTTGAAATGAGAGAGAGATACAGGGAACCAATTACCATGTGATCGCGAAAAAGTCACAGTTTCGCCGCGAAGGCAAAGCAATGAATGTGATAGCAACAACTTGGAACATAAGCTGAAAACAGCAAGCAGATCGAAACGTGCAGCGCACTGCTCATGCACAAATGACGCACGAGAGCAACATACACAAGACGACAGCGAACTAACAATGTTTACCACTCGGTACTTAACAAGCTGTTTAAACAAAACCAACACAAGAAACATAATCACAGGTACAGATATGAGTGCTAACTAACAAGTGCACCAGTTGTTACTTCGCTGCGTTCGAAAAGCGCACTCTTTTCACAAATGGTGCCTGTTCAGCGAGCGAAGTGATCTTTGTGCACCCGGCAACTAAACGCAATCGTTCCGGTGAAAGCTGAAGGCACACGATTTTTCCCACCAAAGGATAAGTGCGCGCACAAATATCTAACTGTCCCTCCTCCCCGCCATTCGCAGGGCAAAATACGCGTGGGCGATAAGCGCGCATCAGCGCATCGTGACGAGCTGGGCGCCGAGTACGGGTGGCTTTTTTTCTTGCTTTTTTGAGTTTTCATATATATAGATACGTATACATATACAGTGAATGATGACGGCGACGTCAAAAAAGCTAGTCAAGACTGTCCATATAATTATGGACATATCTGTACCTTTCGCAATAAAAATTTCAAGTCCAATGTGCCTACTCCAATGTGTTGAGCAAGTTTGCTATCCCTAAACAGTTTTATGTTTATTAAGGTTCGTCAATGCATTTTTAAAGAGCAACTTGTTCTCAGTGAGCCTTTCAGGATTTTGGTGACCATAGCTGCTGGGTGCACAAGGAAAATAAACCAAACACATGTTCAATGATTACCAGTTCAAACATTGGCTTCCAAGCACAAGAGCTCACTGCTGTAATCTTCAGACCACAATCACGCACATGTTGCCCTGTGTGCTTCTGATATTTTCAGTTAACTGGTCCGTTACACGTACTATAACCACTGTCTTGCACGAACCAAGTGTGAATGTCTGGAAACATTTCAGATTATATTTGTATCTTGTGATAGGCTTGAGTGTACATGTGAACAGTATAGTTTATTTTGGAACTGATGTGGCCACCAGTGATCAGGTTCGAATGCTTGATGCCACATGGATAAATGCCAACACGCCTCACTGTAGATCAGATTACTGACGACCGACACTCTGTTCGCTGCTATCAGTGCGCAGTGGATTCGCGCAAATAAAAAGCCTGGTCTTAAACACGTTGACTCCTGTCTTCTTCAACGTCATGACCATGTGGCAGTATTTCCCTTTTAACGGGAAGACAAATTGGTATATTGTCCCGTAAAAAATTCACTAGCTCTTTGCCAGGCTGATTGCACGCATGCAGGTGGCCAACAGTGGCTACCACTGAAATGGTTGCACTACTGGCTTCATTCTTTCGAAAAACTGATTGGTCATACTGTTGCAGAGTGCACATTATTGTCAACGCTTTAAAGCATGGTGTTAATTTACACGGATGCATATAGTAATTCCGTGTAGATTTTGTCTTCGCAAATGGCTACATCACAATTCTCTTCCTCCCGCTGATAAGACACGCTGAAAACTCTACAACTTCCGGGAAAAAAGGATCCGGGATCTTGTCACACTTCCTCCTATTCACATTTCCCAGCTGCAAATGTCAACTGTACACATGCAAGTGATAGGCGATTTTTCAGATGACAGCCATGAGGAGAAAACATGACATAGAAGTATCAACCTTGCTTTCACAACTAAACAAAAGTATGGTGAAAATTTAACATGTCATTTCAATAATGGTCATAGTTGTAACGAACCTTGGCAGAGCTGACAAGTGCCTTGGCAAACTGCAAAGAGTTTACATGTAATAACTCGGCCTTCATGTAAATATTTGAACTTGAGACATCACTGGAGGCTCCAGCTCCGGCCAAAGTTCTCATATGAAAACTCTCAGCTGCCAACTCAAAGTTCACGAAACGATCTTTTAACCTTATATGTGCTGATTGTAAGTGGAAAAAATGTGCAGTACACCCAGCAGCGAGAAAAATGCAAATGAACGAACCTTGGCACAGGCTTCTATGAGCTTCATGGCGAGGTGCACTTTGATGCTCTTCCTGAGCGCAGACTCGCACAACACCTCAAGGGTTGCAGGCACGTACAACTGGTGCCCTAGTATGCACTTGAGTGCATGCCGCAAAGTAGAGTGGCTGCAGACAGGCCCGCTAGCCTCCAAAATGTCCGCCCACAGCCGAGCGTCCTCGCGAGCAATGCGCCACTCCTGCTGCTTGCTACCACCGGTTGGAAAGAACTTCAACATCAGGTATGAGGCAATCCGGAGGTTCGGGATCTCCTGACGTCTCTCGAGAATGCTCTCGTACCAAATGTTTGGGAGGTTGTGTTCCTGTTTGAGAAACATTACCAAGACGGCACGGAATGTTTGATTATTTAGCCGGCGCCGGAAAAAGTTCAGCAACAATACATAATTATATAATACAATCTGTCCAAAAGCAAAACTTTTCCAACTACAATAGCACTGTGAAGAAAGAACAAGTTGCTACAGGGGCAGTCTTTGGCAATAACTGGCTTCTAACAAGTTACTTTTTGCTGTAGCATTGTTACTTTGTACACGGTAATGGCAATGTTCCTTTATTATGTCATGAAAACTCACATGATTGCATCCACAGTGTCAGGCATATGCCCATTCAGGTGGAGGTTCTTGCAAGGGAAAATTGACTACACAGAGTAGCAACAGTGCCTGCATTGTGATTTATTGTCAGCAGTGGCTATCTACTGGCAGGGTGACGCAGCTTCAAGTTACCCGTTGCTACTATGGCAACCAGCACAGCAAATATTCAATCGCAGACGGACACATCTGAAAGATGTGCATCATTCCTCTCTATGCCAGTGACCGACTGTCACGAAGTGTCTCAGTGGTTTCAGATTTGCAGTAAAGTGCCAACACGTCATATCGATTAGAGATAAAGTCTTTTCTAAAGTTTTAAAGTTGAGCAGGCCTTCATACTGATAGGAAATGGTGACAGTGCACCCATAGACACATGGTGTTGATAGTTTACTCCGGTCTATTGTACCTCATGAACAAGCCGTGAAGTTTTTACACCAAAGGAGTACATACATTTTTACACCGTGGTTGTGGAACAAATACTGACAATATGGCAAACAAAGAAAAGCTAAGATGAAAGAAGGCTGATAATGCTGGTATGTGTAACTATCACAGAAAGAAGGTACCTCATCGGCATGAATAGTTGTTATTTGTGAAATGAAGTATATTGCTAGTGTCTGTAACAATTAAATTAGGTACAATTCTAATAATGCAAAATTATGTTACTTGCCCCTTGTAACAACTTAAGTTGTTGAAACTTTTGACCAGGATTACTTTTCTGCTGCAGGTAATCGCATTGTAAAACTGTTATTTTTTGTTGGCAAAGTGTTCTAGAGTGAGTCTCACTTCCCACAATCTAAGTGCAGTTATTTCTGATCTGTGAAATTTTCTATGAACCAAACTACCAGAGGCGTACTAGTGAACAAATTCAGAATATATTCATTCCCCAGACCAGGAAGTTTTTCTTCACCTACAAAGCTCTGCTTTCCAGTAAATCTGTGGGATTTTCTAGCAACGTAGTGCTACAAACAGGTGTTTTAAATATTATCTTTTTCGGAGCCAGAAATCAATATGACAATTATTTGCAAACACTCTGAAAATTTGTGTGCATGGGAAGCATTTGCCTACTGATTCCTGAATTGCCATTTTTAATTTCAATGTGAAAAACTACAAATGCTAAGATGTGAACATCATTGTATATTAGTACTTGGAAAAATGGTTGTTTACTTTTCAAGAACAATTCAAGAAGTACTCAATATTTGGTTCGATTCGCTTCTGGCATTACTACTCGTTTCACGCTCAATTTAGTCTGAATTATCACTGCTTGCATGGTCTATCAGTAAATAAACGGACGAAAAGAGTGTTGAGTCGATGCACTATGACACAATTAAGTGCGGCAACAAAGAAAGTAAATAGAGAAGAAAAACAGTTGCAACCCAACATCAGGCAAGATTCAGTCATGCGAATATTGCTCAAGATACTCACATAAAAAAAATCGTCTCGAAAACTCTGATCATAAAAGAATAAGCAGAACTGCGAAGGGGACAGCTGTGCCTTGACACTTTCCATGACTTCCAGTGCACATTCTTTCGACCTCTTGTTGCCAAACCTGAAGAGGAAGCCACAGCACACCAGTGCCTTTTCAGGGTTCAGTGCGAGCTGGCCGTGCTTCAGTTCTTGTACCAAGCATCTCTGAGTGAGGGAAAGAAAGAGAAGGTGCTAAAGTAGATACCAAGATTTTATACACACGCTCAACGGTGTTTACATAGAGCATTTGCAGAGCACATTTTTTTTTACCAGTTTGGTTGTTTGATATCGTACATGGGCTGTGTTTTCGTGCCTTGATGTAAAGGCTGACATTATCACCAAAGTAACGAGTGAAAATAAAAAGGTGGCTGTTAGATACAGCATTTTATCGAGCTCGTTCACCACAGTTCTGATATTAAAGGACCTGTATTAGACAGAATTAGTCTGCCCTAATGTCAAATGGATATCCTAGCACTCATGAATTGGTGTTACCTCTATATTTATGGAGCACTCCTTTGCATTCCTGAATCTACAGCGTTCAGCACTTCAGACAGATGCGCCCTTACGTGCATTAATGTGTGTGCATCTGCTATCACTTTCTTACATGAAAAGTCACTCCGTGCTCTTAATTGCCCTGCCATTTGCAAAAATCATGGGTTATTTTCCCAATAATGTTGTCCAAGAAGTGCCATGTGCCATTAGTGTTGTCATCGTTGCTTGCACCACTGAAACATATGAACCTCGACTTAATGAAGCTTGCTATTCAATGAAGTTTTCAGCTGCACGTAGGACTTTGTGATATCAAGGTTTGATGGTACTTGGTTCTACAATGGAAGCTTTGGGCCCCCTAAACCTCTGAAGTGCTTATTTATAAGCATCATGTTACAACATCAGGAAAAAGCATGTCTGCTTGGATAGCAGCAAGACTTGTGTGAAGTAATAAGTCTGCATGAGACATTACTATGCCTACTTTTCTGTAGTCTAAATACTTTAAGACCTGGTTGTTTTCATGGTTCACTGATAATTGCAACAAAATTAGTACAAGTAACTTATCATAACAGTTATGCCCACCATGAATTGCTGTAGGGACCTAAAGCAATCTATGGTGGTGCCACATTGCAGATGCCTGATTGTATTGTTACCTGATGTTAACTTTTGTGACATGACAAGCACCAGTAGCTCAAACGCGCAACAGTGTGAATGAGTACAAGAACCCAACAACCAATCAACAAATATTGATAATCGTTACTAGGTATGTTATGCATTAGCAAGGTACCTCTAGCACTTCTCTTGCTTGTCTCGATATCGCGAAAGTCTTGTTGTAAAGGTTCACAAGCGCATTTAGTGCTGACAACGTGTTACGAATGTCAGGGAGCTTTTCCATCCATCGTTTTTCAAACAAGTTCATCAGTTGCTTGCTCCTGCAGCCCCTCAGAAATTTGCCACTAGCCAAATGCTTGATGAGCATGACATCCACGTCGGGCATGTGGATCGCCAAGAGACCGGTGAACTCCTCTCGCAGACTGTCATTCCAGCCAACGTCATCGAAGATGCTTATCAAACTAACAACGTCCGTTGTACGCAAGAGACCTTGGCTTTTGCGGATCATGGCCACCTCCCTCGCCTTTTCAGTGAGCGAAGGAACGTCCAAGTGACCAAGCCTGCACAATCGCAGCAGTTTCGAAAGCTCGTTCATCGAAAGCTTGGCGCAGTTTTGCAAGCAGTGGTCGAGAAACGGTTTCATGTTGCGCGCGTCCCTCGAAGAGAAGCGGACGGCCGCCTCCAAGATCAGGAGCGAATCGGATGGCGAGACACTGTCCCGAAAGGAGGAGAGCAGAGCCGCCGATTTCTCGAGCACGGAGTCTATGTATTCGGAGGAGAAAAAGTACGCGACGTGACACAAGATTACCGCCGTGTTCCTGTAAGATTCGGGTGCGAACGGGATCGCGTCGAACGTCTGCTGAACGAGCGAGCACACGAGACCGCAAATGACGAATCCGTTTCGTTTCAATAAGTTCGACGCTTCGGCCAACTTGGCCAGACCGACTATATCCAATGACTCGCTCCCGATGACGCATCGTTCTTGCAGTTTTACGAGCGCGTCGTGGCTCTTGGGAACACACAGCTTGAGCATAGCGTCCAGCAGATGCACGGTTTCCTCGGGAGTGAAGCAGTCGGCGTCACTTTCCGCCGTGCGTAGAAGGACGATAAACGAGGGGTGGTGATGGAGAGAGAGAAACATGTCGACCGTGTCCGAGTTTGCAGACGCCTGCACCCGCAGCGTAACGTCGGCGTCACTGTAGGCCCACTGAAAACTGCTTAGGATACGATACTGTATCCTCACGAGCGCCTCGGCTGAAGCCACGATGTCTTGAGGCCTGGCAGGTCTGGAACCGTCTTCGGAGAAGACGAGATGTAACACTTCGTCCACGGATCGGCACGCTTGAAATCGCCTCTTGAATTCGTCCCGAGGAACTCCCGCCGCTTCGGGCGCGTAGTCCTTGCAGCTAAGCGAATACGAGCCCGATTTAACGTCTTCGATCAGGTCTTTCGCCCGCGATAAGGCTCGGCAATAGGAAGTCCTTGGGGCGGGCAGTCGGCACAGCAGACGCCTCGCAAAGGCTACGCTAGAGCTTACGTTCAGTCTCGCGTAGTACATGGCTGGTAGCCTTTTATCGGCAAAAACATCGAAGGACTTCCACAAGAGACTCTATATTTTTCGTTGCGTTACATGACACGCACGTGAGCGCTTCTACACGGTACGAAAACAAGGAGCGAAACTGCGTTCTTGTCGATGCTTGCATTCATGACAGGAGCCATGTTGAATGTGCCAGAAAACCTGGTGCACAACAATAAGTAATTCAAAACTATATAATAGTTAGACTTTAAACTTATTATTTTCTCTCTACAAACAACTTTGCTTAAAATACTACTTTTTAAGCACAAAAAGAAGTTATTCAAAATTATAAAATAGTTAGACTTTAAACTTGTTATTTTCTCTCTACCAAGAACTTTGTTTGAAATAATACTTTTTCAAGCACAAAATACATTTTCAGTATTATTTTTTTGTCATACTAGTGCGTTGTTCGCAAGCGCGCGACGCGTGCGTGTCTGCGCGCTGCGCGAGCCTCTCGCACCGCGTTTTCGTATTCCAATCTGTTGTGATGGCTGAGAACGGTGGTGTTTCGAAGCCGGAGGAGAAATCCCATCGAAACTCTGAGCGTGTTTCCAACGGCGCGGGAGATGGGATGGCGTCGAATGACGCAGCAGCGCCAGGGAGTTCGCAGAAAGCCTCCCGAGAAGCGTACATGGCGGCCCTGAACCAGTGGCTGTGGCAGTGCTACCACTGGCAGTGCTTCACTGCGGCACTGCCGTACATCGCAGCCCAAGCGACGAGCCAAAACCGAAGCGCCTACGAGACGGTCGACATCAATCGAAACCTACCGAGGACATTTATCGCGAACCAAAATTTGCTCAATGGACAGAGAATGCAGCGAGCCCCACCTAGACTGGGTAACTAGCGTTTCTCTCATGTCATGCTGTTTCTCTCGCGTCCAAAAAAATTTGCGATCGTGCCCCGGACCTTGTGCGCGCTACTCTCGGAACTGTTTGTGGTCTTCCAAATGTTTACACTCGCTGAACATCAGCCGGGCCTGCCGAGAACTTTGTTCGTTTTCACGTGCCGGTGTATAGGCTGTGTGTCCGTCACCATAACGAAACCTTCTCGTTGGCTAAAATAAACGCGAGAACGCAACTCCGGGCTCTAGGCATGCGTGTAGCACATTGTTCCTTGGTAGTTTCATGATCGCCCGCTGTGTTTTCGTCACTGTTACATTCTTTTTTCTCTGTCGCGGTGAAACGGTGCCGTTTTGTTGTCGCTCAGGACACGAGTTCAAGCTGCCACCTCTGTGGAAGCGATTCGCAGCAGAGGTTCTGGACTCCTTCATCTTGCTGTTTGTAAAGTTGCTGGTGACGTATATTGCCGTCGACTTTTTTGACATCATGTAAGTGTCATTTGGCATGATGAGCAAGCACATGTTGTGAAGCTTGTTGACAGATCAACATCTTGTCTAACATGTGTCCTTGCTCAGAACATAGGTTTGTTAACTATGTAAAACGACCAAATGTTGCTTTTCAAAACTGCCTGAAGACAAGCTGAAGCAATAAAATTATCTGTAAATAACTCTTATTCGCTATTGTCGCTTCGCAGTTCTCTTGACGACACCTTTACCAGTTTGAACTTGTAATTTTGGTGAAAAAAAAACAAGCCTAAGCAGTCCTGTGAATTTGCCAAAAATAAATTTTAAAATACCTAAGGGTTAAAATGGCTTCAATGTTGTTGATCTAATGTAGTTGGCAGATTTCTTAGCACATGTTAACTCTTCTTTTAACTCGTTATGTACAGCCACCCAAATTTTTAACCTGAGCACGCGAGCATCGACCAGCCAGTCGATAAGCAGCGTTTCACCGAACACAACGACGAAATCAACAAGGATGCTTGCATGCCTGTGATGAACAGTCCTAGACTGTTCCAGAAACCGGATCAGACGCTTACAAACTCGGCAGTCGATGCTCGTGCTTTCAGGTTAAAAAAACGAGTGACTACAGCGCTCAGCAATAGAAATATTGAGCCACTACAACCAGTTACTTTGTTGTGCCTGCAGTTGTTGACCACACAATCACTGGTAGAGCAGAAAATGTGTGCTGACTGTCTCCTTTCATTTTCTGAGCACAGTAAACAACAATACTGAGCGCACTTTAGTGTAGAACCAACGCGTCAGGATATCCCTATCATATATTTATTTTTGCACTTTACAGAGATCTCGATAAATACGATTTCGAGTTGCTTCTGGAAGAAACCCTGAACTTTAGATTGGCCCTGGAGGTTACCTCGGAGATCGTAGTCCTGGAAGTTATCCACCGGATACTTGTCTGCCTCTATGAGGTATTTCTTGCACTTTACATCTTGAGTAACGTGTGAACATGTTCATTAAAGGTTACTTGATATCTGTGCAATGCCTGAGTGAGTTTCAGATAGCTTGCTTGGTATTTTTGTACTTGCTTGCTTGGGTAAGCTTTGTTTTATTATTTTGCTGGGTGCTCGTTATGCAAACTGATGGCAGCATTCGAAAGGGCTGGTCGCATTTTTGCTGTACTTTTATGCATGGAACTTTTCGGTCATTGGCAGGTGGCTCTTTCAGAAGTTCACTTCAGTTAATTGAATAGCTGTAAGCTATCACGTCTTCCGAGCGTACCACCAGAATTTCTTGTATGCATTACTGAGGTGTTTTAGAAGTTGACCTCATTGGCTAACTGTTGGCAAAGGTGAGAAGACAAGCATAGTGCCGAAATTGGAAGTGTCCCTTTAGTTGTGAAACGTTCAAATAAGTAGAAACAACCCGAAGTAGTCGACTTTTAAAAATGAAGTACTTTGGCGCAATTAACCTCTCCAATATTTATGTGCTTTCATGTTTAAAATATAGAATGGAAAAATGTTACAAAACCTCATAAACCTTAATGACAATGATGCCTGCAGCCACATCCATTAGAACTTTTGATATTGACTGGCAGTGTCTTATCTATCAGAAAGAAGAGTAAATGATGGAAGAAGTAAATGTATGTAATACTCTTCATTATGCTTTATCTGATGCTGGCTTTTTAGCTTTTGAATGCAGAACTTAACAACGTAAGTAGAAAAGCACCTATAACACTGACCTGGTATAGCTGCCCAGTTATAGCATTATACTGGCACGCTTTAGGTGGCAATTTAGATATAGGCTGTGGTGCTTGCATATCAATGAGATGCATTTTGAAGAGAGTAAGATGCGTAATTGCTCAATTAGTTAATTTAGGTGTGCATTAACAAAACCCAAGTAGTAAAAATCTGAATTATTTAGGAAAACCTTGGTAATCATAATTTATTTGGGGTGTCCAAGCGCTTAATTCCACACACATGTCAAGTGTAAAGAGGTCGCATGTGGTAGTATGAAGATTGAGAAGCACTAAATTTTATGCACAATCTTTGTGTGCAAAATTTTGTTTGTTCATATCTTTCCTAAGCTGAGTCCATCATAGCTGTTTCAATAGAGAGAATGAATCTACTTCGGGCCACAACCTTGTGCTTGAATCGGCACACCTTTCGTTGTGGGCACCATCGCGATGTTACGGCATGAAATGATCCTTGTTGATATGTCCAAGTTAGGCTATACCTGACTATGTTTCTCGTAAAGAAATGCATGAGCGTTGTAAATTATTCTTCTGGTTGCACTGGTGATAGTACGGTCAATAGTTATTGGTGGCTATTTTTACACAGACTGTCTGTCAGCTTACTCGTTCATTTCCATCATTACCAAGATGCTGAAACTGAACAATAAACCCGCAGGGCGCGGGTTCGAATCCCGGCTGCGGCGGCTGCATTTCCGATGGAGGCGGAAATGTTGTAGGCCCGTGTGCTCAGATTTGGGTGCACGTTAAAGAACCCCAGGTGGTCTAAATTTCCGGAGCCCTCCACTACGGCGTCTCTCATAATCATATAGTGGTTTTGGGACGTTAAACCCCACATATCAATCGAAACTGAACAATAAAGACAAGCATGCACAACAAATTCTTAATAGTCCTCTTATGCTTGCCTGGATGTTTTTTGATGAAATGTACAGGTCAGAGACATCAATTTAGTGCACGGAAAAAGAAAGGGCAAAATAGTATGTTGGCATGCACACTACACCTCAGCCGTAGCTTGTCATCAAGGTAATGAGCTATTGAAGGCCCTGTTGTGTTCAATACTCAGAAATGAAGTTTCTCGTCTGTTCTCCTTGCAGACCGCCTGCTTGCACAAGGGTATTGACTCCCCCGGAGGCCGTACCCCTGGCAAGGGAGTCTTTGGGCTGAAGGTTGTCTCATGCGCTAGTATAGAAGAAATCGGTGGGAGCCGCATCAGAGTCTACCCTGCTGGCGATATTGGACTAGGATGGTAGGCGACGCATACTCAACAGTGCTCTTTTTGTTTTCTTTAGCTGTGACTTTACAGCATGTGTGCAGTACAGCGGTACGAACGTTGCTGCACCTTCGGAAAATCTGTGCACTTCTTGAAATTCATTTAGTCCATGAGACCACAGAAATTTAAAAGTATGCAGGAAGATGCCACTATATCAACTTAGAGTATGTACTATAATACTTTCAGGAACGTTTTCAGTGTGGGAATGGCTTGTTCTTTAGCACAGCAAATGAATGGCGTTACCTTTAGCAACACCATCTGTAACCTAACGTGAAGGTACACGAGGCTTATTAGGGCTCAAAGACTCGGGCGCACAATCTCGGAGGCTACGAGTTGTCACTGAAGGTTTACTCTGGCCCCGGTGTAGGAAAAGTATTATTATGCACTGCGATTCCAACGAACAGGCGGTGCAGCACGTAGGCCCGTGCGTGCTTGTTGCGTCTTCCGGGACAACGCAGGTGGCACATGTGTGGCAGCGTCATGTTAATATCAAATGTTGTGGGGCGAAAATCGAATCGCAACAACCAAGCCAATGGGCCTTTGTCGATACCAAATAAAATTTTGTATCACCCTAAAATTCATATTAACTGCGATTATATCACTGACATTTTATTTATTCAGCACTATTCAATTTGCAATGGAATTTCACTATTCACAAATACCAACATTTCATTGCTATAAACAAAATGTTTAGTACTTTGTGCAGGTTATCGTACATCTTAAAATTCACAGATGGTATGGTGGCCCGGGCCACAATAACTTCTTTATTTCAGTCTATGAAGCATGCAGTTCTCTAGAACACTGAGAACATGCGATGCGACTATTTTCTAGTCACTGCTGGGACAAAATAACTTATCGTTCGAAATTATGCAGGAGTCATACTGAAAGCTGTGTGTCATCGTAGAAATTTTGCACGTGATCTTAGTTCTTCATTTATCTGTTATTAATCTAATTTTTCCCTGCTGAGAAAAATGCTACTTAGCAGAATGTTTGCAAACTTTTGACTAAGGTAGTTCCTGAGCTACGCTCTTTATTTTACTTTTTTTTTTTTGCAGGGCATTGCTGCGGTCTTTCGTCAAGAACTTTACGATGGCATTCCTTTTTCCTGCCTGTTTGACAATCTTCTGTTTCCAGCATGGCCGTGCAGCCTACGACATCCTCTGCAACTGCATCGTTGTCGAAGAGCTGCCTCCTCAACACCGTTGAAGCTACGTACCACCTCGTGCAGCTCGTTTGACGAAGTTACACCGCTTGTAGGAACCATCTTTGCTAGCGCAACACATTTTGGCCTTTGTTGTTTACATATGATATATATATATAAATATAAATTAGCAGTACAAGAGAAGAAGAAAAGAAGAAAATCCCAGCTTATTTTTACACCCAGAATGTTGTCTCATCATTTGGGAATCTGTACTTTATGTATAAATGCAGCATATTACATATTATATTTTAGCATACACTGCTGATCATCAGTTTGGTCATTAGGCCCTTGTGCTATTCCCCACAGTACACTTTGGAACAACTAATGGCAGTAAAAGGATCTTTGTGCGAAACAGTGATTTGAAACTGCCAGTAGTGGTCAGACGAGGGGAACCCCAGCCCAGCGCCAGCATTCCGGGGATAGAAAAAGTCCTCATCAAGGCAACCGTTGCTTTTCTCGGCAGGGTGTACAACCGCCTTTGCACACCAACTCTACCCTCTGAAAGTAGTTTGTTTGCATTTCTTGTAGTAGAACAGATTTTAAAAGTTTATCATCTTTACACTGAAGCGTTAATGGGTAGGCTAGTTGGCTTTACATAGTATATTAGAGTTGAAGTTGAGAGCTTGATGGGATGCCATCTTGTTGAGAGGAGCCAAGGCAGGAAATTAAGTTGAAATTTTATGCCGACTATAATCCTTAAAAAATGAACTTTGAACGAAGCTCGTGTGTTGGAGCCGAAACATTTTTGTTTCTTACTCTTTGTTGTCATTCAGTTTCAGCTCCTCATGTTGTGTGTGATAGGTTTAAATTAACATCTAGGATGAGGGTGACATCAGGTTATCATGAAGTCTCTTGGGGCATGCTCACTTTTCTGTTGCCATCTTCTTAGGCATGATTTAAATGTTGTTGCCATTTTTATGGAAGATCTGTCAACTTGGTGATAGTTGGTTCTATGTATGAACACCGTGAAGAAATTTCAGACAAAAGATGTCAACTCTTACGTGTTCAGAAAACTTAGAAAAACAGTGTCCGGTTATCCATAAATAATGCTCCACATGTAAACGTAATCAAACACAGTTTAGGATCTTACCTGATGCAAGACGATAAAACGGCACCAGCAAACACCTTACAAATCAGTTAATAAAGAAAGCTGCGCATATACTTGAGTTTCCAGCTTAAGTCTAGTCCAAAGTTTCCCCGAGATGAAGGAACATTTTGAACATTAAAATTAACATCACTTTGAACATGATATTAAGCATCAATTTGAACATCATTATTTCTACCAACTTGCCAGACTTCAATTTGTTCTCTCATGCGCAAGTGTAGAGAGTGCTGTGCAAATCTCTGCAAAGGAAGTAGCTGTAGCCTCGACAAAAATGTGACTTTTAAGAGTAGCTGAGGCTTTCCTCATTTAGCCAATGGTAGTCACTTGAAAGCTATGTCTTTGCATGAAAAAAGTGATGTTTAAGTGGAATGAAGCACAAATGCTGTGCGTGATGTGGTTTGCCAGTGCGTCGAATTTTGTTGCCAGAGTCAAGCTGGTTTAGCTTGCCTCGTAAAGCACCCAGTTGAGGTGCATAACTGCTCATCCAAAACACGTCTACGCCGCCATTAGTTTGGCGAAGTGCCTTTTGGGAAGGCTGGCCTAATAATTACGAAAGGGTCTGTAGCATTAAGCCGTCTTAACACGTATTTTGGCAGATTTCTGGAGCAAAGCTTATATGTGTGTTGAAGCGGCAGACTCGTGATCGTGAAATCGTCGGCTGTTTCGTTTCCTGGGAGTTACAGCCTCTCACTGCAGTTTCAGTCGTTAGAGCTGCTTTAAAACATGCCGACGCACGTATGTCCTTTGCGAACAATAAGCTCACTAGTGTCTGCATTCTACCGTTTTTCCCCCCCAACTCCTAAGTGCCATGCAGGCTGTAAGCATTGCTCACCGACACCTTTCCTTAGATTAGCTGGAGAGCTCATGCCTACCTTGCAGGAAACAGCTCTTGTCACCAAGAAGAATACCCATTTTTCTGCTTGCGCACCTGTCCTCAGTAAAGATAACTATTTTTGTCAAAGTAACAGAAAGCATTCACTTAAGTGTTGTTCGTATGTGCGTCAGCAGTCTCTGTTGTACATTACAACTACCGTACTGTGTCTGAAGGGCAGGGATTTGGTTTCAACTGGCGTTTGTTTCGTGGCATTAACATTTTAACACAGTGTTGGTTGTTTGCTGCAAGCTTTCCTCCCCTCCACTCTGACTGCCTTGGAAGACTTATGGTTGTGCATTGTTGCAGCATCCTCTGCACTAATAAATCCCCTGAACTGAACAGCATTGTTGCTTTACCTGTCTGGTTGTACATAATTTTTTGCATGTAGGTATGCATCATAGTGCTGAGCGTCTTGCTTGGAGATGCACGAGAGCAGTGCATTCTTGCGTGAATGACCCATGTCAAAAAATTGTACACCGCAGCTTCACAGCAAATGTGCTTTTGCTTTGCTGCTACTAAGTAGTGATGGAATTTGAGGTTGCCATCTATACAAACTGGCTTGTTTTACCTGGAGATTTTATCTTTGGAACTTCAAAAGCTAAATGAACAAAAATAAAGCTTCCTATTACCACTACTACCACAATTCATGATGGTTCTTCTTAAGTGTACTGGTGTACACAGTGAGCCTTGCGGAATTGGCAGTTCTTGTGACGCAAGTTTTTCATTACTTCTCTGGAACTTGCATCTCTCAAATCATATGGTGGTTTTGGGACGTTATATCCCACAAATCAATCAATCAATCTGTGGAACTTGTAAATAGGGTACGGGTGGTTGGGTTGCGGACGCGGAAATAATCTAGGATCTTCTATACTTGGCCATTCTCTACTACATGTGCTGCCTGCAAGTGCAGACGTGAAATTCCTTTGCGATGAAATTGCCTGTTGTTGCGACTTGCTAGAAAGCTTGAAGCTGTTACTACCGAATTTGGCAATAAACAGTAGCAGAGTTCTAGGATTTCACGAGCGATGTCTAAAGGCAACATTCTTTTGCTTACCCTATCGTAGAGTTTGCGGGAAGAGCACTGTATAATTTAGAGTTCGTGGTTAACCTGGTAGGCTTCACAAAACATGGTCTTCGTAGATTTTGCTTTTCTTCCTTTGGCCTCATAATACGACCCTTAACTGAAAAGAAAAATTTCTTATCCGAGTGATAAAATCAGAATTTATGCTAATCAGCAAGTTGGCCTCGTCATAGTGTCACCAGGTTACAAAAAAACGAGATGAAGACTGTGTGAACAGAAGCAACTCGGGCACATATGTAGGACATTTTAGTGTTCTTGCATCGCCCGCTTCATGTAAACAAACGTACTGCATTTTCTCCTATAATCCACACAAACAAACGAAAAATGTGCTTTAAATGTGAGGGTGAGTGTGATATTCAGGGGTAGTACACTTTTTTTTCCTTTTTGTTGAGTTTAAGTTACGAGTAGGGGTTATATGCATAGGTGCATTATATTTAAGAAAATGCAATGTATTGCTGTGTTAACTTTAACCTCCTCATGTGCATGTGGCATAACCAGGACATGCAGACTTAAAGTGTGGGAGTTTTGTTGGGTAAGGCTGGGAGTGAAGAAAATCTGGGACAAGTTTTACTTGAGCATGCGAGGAAAACCAGACAAATTGTTTTGGGAACCTACACTACACTCTCGACTTTAATATTCAGGAATCCCAATTTAGCATAACATTAGCAACAATTACAATGAGATAAGTATTAATTCTGTAGCCAGTACTTTCGTTATGCAAAAAAATTCACGTGACAAATTCAGTAATGTAACTTAAATGTTGAAGAAATTGGCTCCTTAGAAGTTTCATATTGGTATTATTGAGAGCACCATCGTATGCTGCATGCTATTTTACTAAAGGCAAACATTTCTAAAAGATTTCACTGAATTAATCGTGTACTTGTTTTGTGTGAACGTCTTGTCTTGCCAATTAATTTTGTTCTAGTGGTGCGTCACACTATGACAGAGTTTGAAAAATAAATGCCAGGCGTAGATGCCCAAAGTTGTCTTTTTAGTGTGTTAGTATCTTTTCTTCGCTTTTCTTGTTTCCAATAGCGTACTGTCACGATGCTAAATGAATACAGATGATGTAAACATTGCCCAAAGTTTGTTTTCTGATTCAACTGCCGACGTTGCATCCTGTCCATATGTAGGAATTCCTTTTCTCTACAGCTTTGCATTAATAACCTGGTGTAGTTTTAAGTGGGAAACATTATGATAAAAAGAAGTATAAAAACAGCAACACTGTGACAGAAGTATTGTCAAGCGTTTTTCTGCTACCTGCACTGCACAAGAACTATACAGAGGAAGCCAAGCCAATAACAAGTGTTCCATACCCGGCAGGCTTTCTTCAAGGATGGTCGATCATACATGGCAAAGCAGCTAGAGTGTTTTTTTAGTTTATGTGACATTTAGTTGCTGTGGCAACATCCACTCACATTTAAATTGATGGACCTCGGTTTTCTGGTTGAAGTTCTTCAGTTGCGGCCACACGCCATTTGAGAGGGCAACATCTTTTTTGAGGTTATTGTGAGAACATGGTTGCAGCGAGCTGTATAAGTGCAACAGCCACTGCAAAGATGATGTCTGTTCATTATAGATGAGTGCTTAGTCCACATGCACTGGAGATTCAAAAATAACGTAGAACACATGCGACTGATTGCGTTTTTTTTTTTAATTATGCACAAAACCTAATACCATAAATTGTTCAACATCCAGTGCTGTCGGGACCTTGTTTTCGGCAAATATTATCTTGTGATTTGATTCTACGTCGATGGTCAGAAGACTGAAACCATCTATAGGAACATCTAGTGTAATGCATGTAGAATGTACCGCTTTAATGCAGTATGGGAGAATGAATGCAAGATTTTTTGTGGTTTTTATATGTGCTTGCCATTCCAAGTTAGTTGGAACTAAGTGAACATGCAATACATAGTACGTCCTTCTTGTACAGGAATTGTAATTAAATATTCTTAATGTATGCCACGTCCTGAAATGTGGTTTCTACGCTATGTATTTTTGCTTGAAGTACCTCTTCTCATGACTGTTTGTAGCACCCGCAAACCTGAACTTAAGAACACCCGCAAACCTTTTTATTTCGTTGATTGGCTTGTAGAAACGCCCTTGCCCCACAAGGAAGTAAATGTGCCACTTCTGCTGTTTTGCTGTCAAGAAACAATGTCCTCCACAAAGTAGCATAGTTAAGATGAACAGACTAAAGACTGCTTGAGATGTGATTGGACCAATTTGTGGGTGTTGGTGTCCCACCACTCTTTTAGTGAGAACTCAACAGTTTTGTTGACGCTCTTCAATCACACACACAGTTAAGATGTTCTACAAGTTTTTATTTTTTGCAGCACACTCGCAAGACATGCATGGTGCGTGAGATTGCTTATTGCTTGAGAGTAGAAGCATAACCGCAGTTGTCGAACAAGCAGGAATGCATGTGTTACTTGTCGAAACAGAACCATCACTTTCACTGCAAATTATCCTTTGACAGGGAGTGGGAATTAACTTAATTATTGCAAGCTGGGAATGTTGACCTATTCTGTATGTGTAACAGTGTTATTTTTTTTTAAATATTATACATATGCATGTATTTCTCTGTTCATTGTCTGAAAGCTTGCATGTGACCTAGAACAAAAATAGAGAAAGAGACTGCAGTTGTGAACAAGAGATGTAGCCTTTTAAAAACTAAGATTGTTGTTGAGCAAAAGTAGTGTTTAGAACACTGATATATCTGTGGATGATATGCTCATTAATATGTTGCTGTTTCTTCTTTTTTCTGGTCATACACGAACTCTTCAATAAAAGTGTGGACATGAAAAAGCACATAATGGCAAAAAGTTTTGAACCACCGCACATTTCACACTTTTGCATCTTTCTACCGTGCTTGTTCATCAAAATGTTCAAGCAATGCAGCCTTCGTTTTGTGAGAGTTTATGTACATATTGAAACAAAAGCACTTTCTACACATCAAGTACTTTTCGTGTGTATTCATCTGAAGCTGGTGTTAGCTGCGCCTATGTTGCTCGCTTAGCTACGTCAATTTCGTATCTAGATGCGACTATGGTGCGTGAATTTAGTATGAAGCATAAATTCATGTCAGTCATCTGGCTACTAGGGCCATGATTGTAGCTTGTTATACTATGTACATGTAGTACCACTTGATGCTAGCAATTATTGGTACTTGGCAGACCCACCTTTAACTTTTGTGTAGTGCCACCGCTGCACACGCACCTGCCGATTGACTGACAATCCTCCTTTTTTGTTTTTTCTCCCTCTCTTTCTCTTCTCTTTCCTCTCTCTCTCATCTTTATGACCCCTTCCCATTCCCCCCAACGTAAGGTATCAAACTGGGCATGTGCCTGGTTAATCTCCCTGCCTTCCTTCTTGTTGTTTATCCCTCCCCCCTGGCAGACCTAAATTTTGACCAAGCAGCACTGATGAGAGAAGTTTAAGATTGTTTTATGTAATAATGCAAACAATGTAAATAAATAAAAAATGTGACCAAGGGAGTTAATATTTAAAAATTACGTCAGCTCATGAACTCTTGTTTCAATGTGAAATTCTCAATGTGGTCATTGTGTTGTTATAAAATCACTAGTAAAAACATATTCTTGTGGTATTAAGTTAGTCTCAGAGTTGCCATGTTTCAGCTTGTGTTAGGATGAAAAAAAAATTAAATACTGAGTCGGGATCTGCCTGTATGATGAAGTGCGACCTAATCCATGGATGTAGGCCCTTTCCTACTTGTGTTTGTTGTATTTGATTCAAAATCATAGAAAAATACTACAAGGGGCATGTGTTCCTATACTGCCCAAAAACATATTATGAGACAGCTTCATCACAAACACAGACAGAAAAAGAGGATTGAGACAATTCACAAAACACTTCGTGCACATCAGCAAAAAAACATGTTATGTTACATATGATCTTGCAAATTTTTTTCACATTTAAATAAAAATTATTTTGATTGGCCACTTAGGTTAAAAGTGTAACCTCATGCACACACTGTGTACATGTCAATAACCTGTTGTGACAATTTTTTTTTATTGCACTATCACAGAACACACAAAGTAAGGTACGCTACAACTGTTGACATGACAGTTGAGAGAAGGTAACGAAAACAAAAGCAAACCAAGATGAACTGTGTGGTAAACAAGGAATGCTTCTTTTTGTTGTTCCTGCAGCGAGCTCCGTTTGTAACCTGAGCAAAATGACAAAACACTGCAACCACTCGTGCGCATCTACAGCATTGTATGTACACCCTAAAATTTTGGAGATCCGGGTCCTTGTCCATACTCCAATCGGGCCGGAAGTGTCCGAAGTGCAGTTCCAAGTCTGTAAAAATGAGAGAGGTATAATTGGAGTGAGCAACACATTGGGCACGCACATTTAGTGCTGGCTACTGCTTATCTACCAAACATTGTTTCTTGTTAGCAAGTTGCAAATGTCTTGATTTGCGTGTAACGTACCAATGGACCAAAATAATAAAGAGTAATCAATGACTGCATTGAGTCTTAATTTCCTGCTATCTTTCTGTGCTGACATGCGAGGGTAGGTGAATGCAAATTCCGTCCTAAGATTTTCAGTCAGCTTCAGACCATGTTCACGCCTATGTTTTAAGGAAGGCCTAATGTGCACGAAAGTAGATAACAGTCCTTAAAGGTAATTTCTTGCAAGGGCCACTTGCCTTATAGTAGCTGCAACATCTAAACACACTGTGTCTAGAATTGGTGGATATTCAACCATCTAGCTATAGTAATGAATTTGCAGATATTGGATCCAAGTATGAGTGTCAGAAAACAGCCACTGAAACTTCAGCTGGCATTTCACTTCTCTGTTTATAGGAGCACACTTGTACTGCTGAGTTTACAATAGCAGTAAATCCTAGGCATGTGAAGAATTCTCGATGATCATGTATTTTGTAATATCTGCAACAATTCTTTATTTTTCAATAAGTGTTGAGTATTTATTTCACATATACTTAAGTATAGCTTCTTTGAATATTTTAAAATAACTTTTGTAAACATACAAGAATTAAACGGTCGCTGCTGTTTGCCTTAAATGTATGCCTAAGGACTAGCATCATAGCAGCAACATGGCCAATTAACCGTGGTAGTCATTGCAGTATGCAATAAGATGTTGGCACTTAGGATGAAGTACCATTAACAAAGGTGAGAAAAGCATCAGTATAGCAGCCACATGACCAGGCTGTTGGTATGGCATAAGTAGTGATTACAATTTAATACAAAAGGACAGGACAAGAAAAAAAGGACAGGACAAAGTGCTTTGTCCTGTCGTTCTTTCTTGTGGTATCATTTTGTGCTAAAACATAACTATGGATTCACACCAACTAGCCTGCCAAAGCATTGTCTTGGCATCAGTAGTGCCTTTGCACCCAACCATAAAGCAGCTATAGCTCACAATTGCAGTGCACTGCTGAAACATAAAGGATGAACTTACTTGTACTTTGTAACACGTGTGTGTGTTTGAGCAACACGCTGCAAGTGTCAACTATGCGCAACCAGCTAGCCCCTACCAACTAGCTTTTCTAACAGGTGCATCATTGTGTTTGCAAAGACTGACACAGCAAAGGAACAGTGCTACGTGCTGTGGGTACTTTTCTAATTCTTACGAAAATTTGTGGAGGGATAAAGAAAACCTTTTGGACTGAAGAGCTTGAAAGCTACTTTTTTGAGAGCTAAACCGTCGGGTGTCCACAAAATACCCTCTGCAGCGTCACTTATCAGTAACCAAACTGCGGCTGCATACCACATGTGTTTAACCTCGCCCATCCGTGCATGCGCCGACCAGCAGTCGCCGCCAAGCCATGCCCTCAGACTGAGACACTCCACGCAGCTGTACTATAGTGTAGTAGAACCCTTTTGTGGCCACAGCCGCCAAGTTTGCTAGGCGTGACGCAAGCTTAGTACGAGCACTTCGAAAGGTCCGCAAATATACTGGGGGTGCCAAAGACAGGTTTAAACTCAATTCTTTTTTTTTTTTGCACAGGAGCTTGGACGTTCTTGCATAGTTTATGACAGGTTGTAGTTCGATGCTACTCTGTATACAATCTGGAATAGATTTGAGAGCAAATGGACAACACACAAGAAGACAGGACGACTGTACGATTGTCCTCTCTTCTCGTGTGCGGTCCATTTGCGCTCAAATTTATTCTAGAATGAACTGATGTGCCCAACAAAGCATTTTATTCTGTCTACCCGAGGAAAGACCAAGTATTTGCTAAGGAGACGCGAGATCGACCAGCTTGGCCATTACACAGATAATGCATGCATTTGGGGGGGGGGGGGGGCTATTGTAAACTGCCTATTAATAAACGGGACAGACCCGTAGCCAGAACTTTTATTTGTTTTTTTTTGGAGGGTGGTTCAACTATTTCTACTTTACGTTCGTGTGCACGTTTGTAGGTGTGTGGGCGCATATATGCAAGCAAAATTGACACATTTTGGGAGGGTCTGAACCCCCCCCCCCCCTCTTTGGCTGCACTCCTGTAACGGAGCCCCTGACGACACACTTCATCCACAGTGCTGTGTGCGTACCTGGTGCCGCCATACACGGACGACGCGTAGTTGGCGGAGCGCAGCGATCCTGCGTACGCCGCCTCTGTGGGCACCTGGAAGGCGGACGACGGAGTGGGCGAGTAGGTGTTCCCTCCAACAGGCCGGCCGAAGCCCGCCGCCTCGTACTGCTGGTGCTGGTGCGGCCGGCCTTGCTGCTGGTGCTGCACCAGCTGCAATGGCGCAGCCTGGTGGGCGCTGGAGGGCGCCGCCCCATTGGGAGGACTCTGGGCCACGGTCGCGTACTTCGCGATCTTCGCGTCAGGGTCTTCATAGTCGTCGTCTGTGTTGGACTCTGTTCGCAAGTGTGGGCAAAAAAATGAAGGAGTTAAGGTGATGTCAGACGAACCACGTGTACTCGAAAGCGCTTTCCTCGCATAACAAACTGCATCTGACAAAATACAATTTATTTTTCAACATCCCCTCGGTATACAAACATATTGAGAATAGGAGAGGCAAAAGTCGATATATAAATAAATCTTGGTTAAATATACAGATCAAAAATTAAAGAATTACACAGCAGCACATTAACAAATTTAACCACAATGGCAAAGATAAATACATGCTAAGTGAATAATTAATGAACATTCGCGAACAATATAGTGAGTATTCCATAGTTGATCGCGCTGTAGAGGATTATTTATGATGTTGGCTCCACTTTGTCCGAAAGGCTGTAGTAGCCTCTGTAATGAGCTCGAAATGCCGCCACAACAAATTTTAACAATGATGCAGAATTTTACGAAGTTAGTGGTATTAGTACTACAGGTATCAGTAACACAACCACAGATCGCAGTTTAGATATATGAATCTTCATTGTCCTCTGAATGCGAAAATATTGCGAGGTCGTCTGCTGTACCGCATCGCGGTGGAAAATATTATTTGGCGTAGAATACCAGGGTCGGTTCACCATAAAATGCACATCATTTGTCAGATCGAATTGCCTTCATGTGAGATGGGCCAATCATTTTAATTTATTTTTGTTTCATAGTTTCATACGTATCTCTTCCGGCTTTTAGTGAAAAGCTTAGAAAGCGGCTCAAGACGTGTAGGAACGGCCAACTTGATGAAGTGGTGCACTCTATAGCTTACTGAGAAAGCTGTCATCGCGCCTAAGTTCTCGCAGCAATTAGTGCATTTTCGTAGAAGAAAGTGACTAGGTTGCTTAATGTGTGTGGCTGTGGAATGCGGGTATTCTCTGTCAGCTACTACTGTCGACAGAACTTTACCTGCTAATGGGCCCCCCAGAAGAGTGCTTGTCCACATACATTGACTTAGTGCAAAAAAGCCAACTTTAAGGGTTGTTTGAACATAGCGTTTGCGTACATGAAAATCAGTTAAAGGCTTGCTGCGAGTGCTGTAGCAATGCCTGCGAAAAATTCTTTGATAGTTTACGGACATCTCCAGGGTAAATTAACATTTACGACAATGCAGACAATCGCTCCAGTGACGCCGGAAGTCGCAAACGTACCTAGATAGCCAAGAGGAAGACCTAACTAGTAAATCGAAAATGCGTTGGTTACTATACAGATCTTGACGACGACGTATTTGTGGGCTTATTTTGGCCAGTTTCTGTGACGACGTATAATGATGTCCAATAAGACCTGCTTCAATTCAACTACCGTATTCATTCGCATACAACAGCACGGAATGATATTGGCCAACTCTTGAATACAAGGTGGCTACTTATAAGAGCAACACTATTTTCAATCACTATCAATCCTATTTCAGTGTTTCAGTTGTTTACTAATGTATCGTACAGCGAAAGGGCCATCAAAGGCCAAAGAGCGGCAGGACGTAATTGTACACCGGACCAGGGTGACCTAACTTGCGAGTAGATTTAATACCAGTATTCCTAGCTCTGGAGGTAGCACTTTTTATTGTAGTGATCGCCTGTGCTGCCTTCCGCAACGAAATTGTAGTGGGTCTGCGCGAATGGAAGCACACCGAATTACTGACGCTTTTTTTTTTATCAATCAATCAATGAAGCTTTATTTTCATAAATAGATATATGCAATTACAGGGATTATTTGGACTGATAGCCTAAAGTGGCTAGTGGACGGTCCAATACAATGTGCAACATAAAAAAGTGTACAGGTCAGCTCTGAGGTAACAACATAAAAAAAACAATCATGTGATACAGATAACACAGTAATACATTTTTTCTTGCAGATATGCATACTTATTAGCTTGCAGCTAGTTTCTATACATAGGCACTTATTAAAAAAATACAATGAAAATCGAATCACACACACATGCTTACATGTCTTGACTCCACAGAAAAAATGATTTACATGCCATGCTGAAATTACGTGCCGTTTTAATCTCTAGGGGGACCGTGTTCCATATTTTTGTTCCACTAAACTGTATCAGTCTTTCTCCGTAAACATTAAAACATTTGGGCAGATTGAAATTACCATTCGAAGCATGTAGCGTATTGCGTTTAGGAATTGAAAAAAGATCAGCAGGCAAAGGTGAATTTCTATTAATTATGTTATTTACTGAAACAGCAATTTTGTAGTCACGCAACATCGGAACCGAGAGAATGCGTTGTGATTGGAAAATATTACTTACTGATTCACCTTGGCTTATGATTTTCAGTGTACGCTTTTGAAGTCGTTCAAGAGTTTTTAGATAACTGTTGTACGTCACACCCCACGATTCCAGACAGTAACCTATGTGACAATGACACAATGAAAAGTAGAGTGTGCGGAGTATAGCTTGTGGAAAATATTGGCGAGCTTTTATTAGAGAATAGCAGCCATAGGCTAGCTTTGCGCACACACTTTGTACTTGCTCATGCCAGTGTAAGTGTTCATCAAAAGTGACGCCTAAATATTTAAAACAAGGAACTTGTTGAATAGGAGTGTTGTTTATTGTTAGGTTAAGAGATTCAGCGTCAATATGTTTCCTACGAGAGTGAAACACCATATACTTTGTTTTAGTACAGTTAACAGTCAGCTGATTCCTGGCAAACCATTCCGAAATGTTCGATAAATCGGTCATCGCGTCATTTTGTAAATCTGCTAAGGAGTGTCCTGTGAAAACTAAAACAGTGTCGTCCGCGTACATCAGTGCCCTTGACCTTTGTAGGGATCGCGGGACATCATTAATATAAAGAGAGAACAATATAGGGCCCAAAACTGAACCCTGTGGCACCCCGCATTTAATATAACCGTAGGATGATTTGATGTCACCAATGACTACCTTTTGTTTGCGTGCCGATAGATAACTAGAAAAAAAATCAAGCGAGTTACCTTTTATCCCATAAGAATGCATTTTTTCCAGTAAAATGGAATGACTAATAGCATCAAATGCCTTTCGTATGTCTAAAAATACTGCTATTGCTATGTTGTTTTCATGTAGCGCGGAATTAATATATTGCGTAAGCATCGAAACAGCAGTTGAAGTGGACCTGTTTGCAACAAAGCCGTGTTGCTGGGGACAAAGTACATTCTGTTCACCCAGGAAGCGCCTTAATTGCGACGAAATTAGTTTTTCAAGCGTAGTGTTAATACTACTCAGAACAGATATTGGTCTGTAGCTGTCCGGAAGATTCCGATCACCAGATTTGTACACTGGTATTACTTTGGCGGTCTTAAGTATACTAGGATAAGTTTTAGAGGAAAATGCATGATTAAATATATGGCATAAGGGACCACACAATACATCAATATTCTCCTTTAAAATCCTTGATGATATGGCGTCATGTCCAGCTGCCTTGTTCCCTGGTAACTTATTAATTACTTGTCGGATGTCATCCTCAGTTACATCACATAAATCAAAATTATTGGTAACAGTACAGGGTGCATTTAAATTCTGCATATGAGTAGGGAACTTCCTCGCAAGGCTGAGACCAATATTAGTAAAGTAATCGTTAAAGTTGTCGGCCACTTCACGAGTTGGATTATCAGGTGTAATGCGTTCTTTGCTACCCATGCCAGTGACGTCTTTAACAATCTGCCATATTTTCTTCGTGTTACCATCATTTTTTTTCACTAGGTTGGTATAGTAGCACTTCTTGGATTTTCTTATCATTGCTACTGACTTGTTTCTGTAAAGCTTAAAATTTTGATGGTAGTATTCATTGCTCCTGTTATTTTCCATTTGTCGTAGTAAAAATCTTTCAGCTTCAAACCTCAAGTATATTTCTATTCATCCATGGACATATGGCATGGTCATAATTTCGGCGCGAACAGCTACGCGTTGATCGTTCAATGACATCCATAATGCATTTTACAATGTTATCACACTCGACGTCCACGTCTTCATCATAGAGGGCATCAAAATTCGTTCCTTGTAGTAGTTTTTGCACGGAATTATAGTCGACACGTGTTGTTCGTTTAATGGCAGGTATGGCAGGAGCACAAATGTATTTCTGGGGTAAAAATAGAAAGGTGGGATTGTGATCCGCAATAGCAACAGCGTATACGCCTGCCGATACATCCAGGTCAGCGTTACACAACACGTGATCAATAATCGACTCCGAGTGGTCTGTTATGCGAGTGGGTGATGAAATAACATTTCTCAGATTAACTGATTGTAGCAAAAACACGTAATCATCACATGTATCTCCAGACACGTCTATGTTAATATCACCGCAGACAATAATAGGTGCTTTAGAGGCCACAATGGGTATCATGGTACTTTCCATCACAGTAATGAAATCAGCCACACTGGAAATTGGTGGACGATATATTACACCGATGATGACACCATTCTGAAGATGAATAAAAAGAGTCTCTGCCGATGAACTGCAGCATGAGCTATTGCTAAGGTGAACGAAACTAAAGCAGTCTTTGATAAATAGCGCCACACCCCCTCCTCGTGTAGCACTGTTTCTAGGTTGCGAAAGCATGACGTAGCCGGGTAAATGAACTGATTCGCTTTCTCGAAGCCAAGTTTCAGTTATAGCGATGACATCATATTTAAACGAGTGCTGTGATAAGTACGAAAGCAGATGATCGAAGTTCTTTTTTATGCTGCGAATATTACAATGTAATACTGCGAAATGATCCTGCTGCAGCCATATGTTTTCAACCTCAGAAAAAGAAAACGCCATTTAAAAGTATAGGAAACTCCAGGTTACAGAAACAAGCAGGCAATCCTCAAACAACTTTGGAAAGATCCTCAGCACATGTGACGTGAAGCACACGTGAATTATCCGCCTTCCGCATCAAAATCTTTCCACCAGTTACCCTGGTGTACTTCCACTTTTTTTTCCCGCTTTGTCTTTAGAGCGGCTGTTAGCAATTCCTTGTTTGCCGGACACAAGTGCTCATTTATGTACACTGGAGA